GGTCAATGAAGACGGCTGCGCAGTACTGTCTTTTATGCATGGGCAAGCGGCAGCGGAGGGTGCAGACCTGGTGGCCGGGGTAGTGGTAGCCAGGTGGAAAGCATGGCCAGCCGTAGCAAAATGCTTGTTGAAATTCTCGATTATTGTAGATTTATCGGTGGTGACAGTGTTTCTAGCCTCTGTGCAGTGGGCAGTTGGGAGGAGGTGCTTTTATTTTCCATGGACTTTACAGTGTCCCAAAACTTTTTGGAGTTAGTGCTACAGGATGCAAATTTCTGTTTGAAAAAGCTAGCCTTTGCTTTCCTAACTGATTGTGTATATTGGTTACTGACTTCGCTGAAAAGTTGCGTATCGCGGGGGCTGTTCGATGCTAATGCAGTACGCCACAGGATGTTTTTGTGCTGGTCAAGGGCAGTCAAGTCTGAGGAGAACCAGGGGCTATATCTGTATTAGTTCTGAGTTTTTTGAATGGGGCATGCTTATTTAAGATAGAGAGGAAAGCACTTTTAAAGAACAACCAGGCATCCTCTACTGATGGAATGAGGTCAATATCCATCCAGGATACCCGGGCCAGGTCAATTAGAAAGGCCGGCTCGCTAAAGTGTTTTAGGGAGCATTTGACAGTGATGAGGGTGGTCGTTTGACCGCGGACCCATTAATGGACGCAGGCAATAAGGCAGTGATCGCTGAGATCCTGGTTGAAGACAGCGGAGGTGTATTTAGAGGGTACATTTGTCAGGATGATATCGATATTGAGGGCATCTATTTTAGATTGTAGGTTGGCCGGGGTGTTAAGCATATCCCAGTTTAGGTCACCAAGCAGTACGAACTCTGAGGATAGATGGGGGGCAATCAGTTCACATATGGTGTCCAGGGCACAGCTCGGGGCTGAGGGGGATCTGTTGCAAGCGGCAACAGTGAGAGACTTATTTCTGGAAATGTGGATTTTTATAAGTAGAAGCTCAAACTGTTTGGGCACTGACCTGGATAGTACGATAGAGCTCTGCAGGCTATCTCTACAGTAGATTGCAACCTTGGCAATTCTATCGAGACGGAAAATGTTGTAGTTGGGGATGGACATTTCTGAATTTTTGGTGGACTTCCTAAGCCAGGATTCAGACACTGCTAGAACATCAGGGTTGGCGGAGTGTGCTAACGCAGTGAATAACTCAAACTTAGGGAGGAGGCTTCGGATGTTAACGTGCAAGAAACCAATGCTTTTACGGTTAGAGAAGTAAACAAATGATAACGCCTGGGGAGTAGGAGTGATACTGGGGGCTACAGGGCCTGGGTTAACCTCTACATCACCAGAGGAACAGAGGAGGAGTAGAATAAGGATACGGCTAAAGGCTTTAAGTACTGGTCTTCTAGTGTGTTGGGTACAGAGAAAAAAAGGGGCAGGTTTCCGGGCGTTGTAGAATAGATTCAGGGCATTATGTACAGAAAAGGATATGGAAGGATATGAGTACAGTGGAGGTAAACCTAAGCGTTGGGTAACGATGAAAGAGATAGCATCACTGGAGGCACTGATTGAGTCGGTCTCCGCGTGTATGGCAGGTTGAGCTGGGCTGAGGGATCTACAGTGGAATAGTACAATAAGAAATAACCGAAACAGCAATAAGCAAGGCATATTGACATGGGAGAGAGCATAAAGCAATCACAGGTGTTATTCGAGAGAGCTAAGACAACAGCTGGTAATGGCGACAAAGTTTGGGCTGAGGCTAAACATAAACAGGATGCGGTACCGTATAAAGGAACAGTCCAGCAGGCATCAGCTGTATAGCTGAGTTATCATAAGGTCCGGTGAACAGCAACAGGAGAGTTCGGAGGTAGTTCGGGGGCTGCTATAGCACTGGCGAGCAAGAGACCGTGCACGGCTAGCGTGTGCTAGCGGGCCGGGGCTAGCAGATGGATCTTCGTGGTCGACGTCGTAACGGGAAACCTGTTGTAATCACATCAGACGATTTCGTCTGCAGATTAGTCGTGTTGATCGGCGGGGCTCCGTGTCAACACTAGGAGGTCCTGTCCAGTTGACAGAGAGGTAGATAGCCGGGAGAAGGGCCTGGCTCGCAGCTAGCTCAAGGCTGATTAGCCAACAACAACGTCCATTTGATTGCAGCTATCTAGCTACGATGATCCGGTGTTAAAGGTCTTGTGAATCAGTGATTCCGGCAGAAAAACCGATATGTTCTGGGTCGATAACGCGCTGTGCAGACAGTGCAGACTGGCCGATAATAGTCCAGGCTAGAGCTGGCTGGTAGGTAGTGCAGGCCACGGACAATGGTGAGAAACCACTAACGGTGTCTAATAGCAAGTAGCTAGTTAGCTGGCTACTCCCGTCCGGTAGACAGAGAGGTAGATAGCCGGGATATGGGCCTGGCACAAGGCTATCTCAAGGCTAACTGGTGCTTGCTTCAGGGGCAGTGGTGATTAGCCAAACAGCAACATCCAATTCGGTTGCGGCTAGCTAGTTGCGATCCGGTGTTAATGTCCAGTGATTCAGTTATAATTAAAACACACTGTTTTGAAATGAAGGTCTACAGTAGCCTCAACAGCACTCTGTAGGGTAGCACCACAGTGTAGCCAGAGGACAGCTATTTTCTGTCCTCCTCTGGGTACATTGACTTCAATACAAACCCTAGGAGGCTCATGGATCTCACCCCCTTCCATAGACTTACACAGTAATTATGACAACTTCCGGAGGATGTCCTCCAACCTATCAGAGTTCTTGCAGCATGAACTGACATGTTGTCCACCCAATCAAAGGATCAGAGAATGAATCTAGTACTGAAAGCATAAGCTACAGCTAGCTTGTACTGCAGTGCATAAAATGTGGCGAGTAGTTGAACAGTTTTTAACAAATTCATTTATTCAAAAATGAAGGAGCAGCAAGAGAGAGAGAGAGAGCTAGCTATATTTCCTTGTATTTTTTTTCTCTTTCACTTTCACTTGCAGTTAGCTAGTTTAGCCTACTGAAACACCCGGCTCAAACAAAGGGATGCTATGTTAGCTAGCTGGCTATGGCTATCCAACACTGGAACTCTTCCAAGTCAAGGTAAGCTTTTATGTTTTATGAATTTATTGCCACCGGGGTCACCGGTGTAACTGCTGAACTGTTACACTGTACTGCATGATTGTAGCGGGTTTACTAACACGTTAGTTCTGTTAGCTATGTTGATGATGACAACGATGTAGGCTGTGTGTAGACGTTAGCAGTTATGATATGAAGGTTTGGCTTGGAAAGGTTTTTCGCCTGGTCACAGACAGCTGATGTGTTGTGCACTGTGAAGTCCACAAGTGAAGGGAAATGGTGAGAGGAGGACAGCACGTAGATGCGAGAAGGAATTATATATACAATGAGCAAAGTGATCATGCTGTTTGTATGTGGCTGCTATGAAAGTGAACTGTGTTTGACTGTGATCAGGGGTGTATTCATTCTCCCGAATCTGTTGAAAAACATTTCTTAAACAGTCTCCATATATAATTCCATTAATTTTTTCAACTGGTACTGGGGGACCTTCAGAGGAGTCTTGTGAGGCCTGTGGGCGTCCTAGAGCAAAGAGTCTCACCTTTGCACAGAGGGGTCATATTAGTGTGTAGCCCAAATGGTTCGGACGCTACAGACGATTTTGTGAAAAGACTGATTTTAGGGACGTCTCATGGTCTGACAAACACAGCTCTAGCGCTGTCACCTTTCACCGCAGATGCGGAAGTGCGACCGACATAGGCAGATGCGGTGGATTGAGACGCATCCAACAGATGTCTAGCTTAAACTGATGGATTTTGATGGGGATATTTTTATTATGCTCATTAGATTTCTGTGGGGACAAAACTGAACAATACCTGAATTTGTTCAACAGAAACTCTAATTTGCAACTTTTGGACTAATGATTACACCCTAGATCAGCTAGATGCAGGGCGGTATTGAACGTGTCACTGTCTGTACCTTGATTACTACACATTTTCTCTCGACCTGTGCACCGACGTTGTAAACTTTTATTCATAGGCTAGGGTGTAGCATGGGTATAGGGAAAATGTGAGTATCATGTAGTAGCCTAAACCTATCGATGTTACATTGAGCTGGGTGAAGGGAATATGAATTATGAATGGCAGTCATCCAATATGCTGTAATAGAAATAAGGCCATGCTCAATAAAAAAAAATTTGTGCTCCCTCATCTTAAACGGCACCGACCACCACTGTTCTTGACCTCTACTGCACAACAATGTTTGGGATGCATTGTTTGTGTTTCTGCAGTGAAGTTGCCCCTAGACACTGATCTTGAGTCAGTTATGCATTTTCCCCACTAATTGTAAAGGTTAGGATTAGGGGAGGGGAAGCTGATCCTAGATCCATACATAGGGGAAACTTACCCCAGAGCTGTTTCTGCAGATAAACTGCTTGTTCGACAAAAGGCTACATTTATTTATATCTTGGTATATTTGTGGGTTTGTGTGTTGAGAATTCATTACTGCAAAGTAAAATATATATATATATAGACCTTGTTAGGTATTTTGTTATTCCAAATATTCTAGTGACAAAATATCAACACATTACATTACATTATATTTATTCACAAACAGGCTGTAATAAAATGTCCAACAAATTCATATATTCATAAAATGTTTTACAATGTCAACCTCATGATATGTTATCAGATAACATTAATGGATAGGGAAAATATTTCAAGTTTACTCTTCTGAGTCCACTTTCTCGTAATGGAGTAATGAATACTATTGCTTTGTCCTTGTTTGTCCGTGAAGAAGTAATACAACATTATAGATTTCCCTGGAAGATCGATATATTTTCCGTGTTGACCTCAAAGGAAATAGTATACTGTATATGAGCTCCTCTTCCACCAGCAAATGTTCTGTTCCATAGGCATCTTGTCCTTGAGGCCTGAATGGGGACAACGCTGCAGCTGCGCCACAGAGCATTGAGGCCCCTTGGCGAGCTGCGCCTCAGTGACTTCACCCAGTTTTGCCCTCTCACAACAAGACCTCAGAGAATCTCCACTGTCCATCTTTGGTTGGGTTTGTTTGGATCAAACATGTTGAGAATCACCTGTTTTTTGTCGTAGTTTTGTCCACCTGTTAAGATAGACAAAAGGTTTGAGTTGGGCGTTATTCCATGACCATAAAATGCATCCTTCCTCCCTTCCTTGAGGCAATCACTTATCGGTCAAGGTTGGATCAGTGAAAGCAACAAAGTGGAAACCTTGCCTTCACTTATCCAATCACTTACAAATAAGTGATTACCTCAAGTAAGCGAGAAAGGAGGGCCACATTTTTAGGGTATTCAAACCCTTTCCGTCTCTAAACTTGACACAATACTGAATCCAGCTTTTTCAAGATCAAACGGGACAGGAGATATGCTTGTTCAAAGTTTGGAATTTCAGTTGATTACTATAGCTCCACCCTTGGGCCAATCAGTGTAATTTTGTAAATGCCAGATCTCTATGGCAAGATGCATAATTCACCCAAGTTTCGTGCCAGTGGTTTCTGAGATATCGTGTGTGACTAACTAACGTGCGTACGTATTAACGTACGAATGGGCTGAGACAGATCCATAGTCCCCCCTCCGGTTTCATCGTGGGGGACAGTGAAATGAAACCAGTGAATAATAACTTACAATGACACACAAACTAGATTCTGTATTCCAAATGGACGCCTAGACCACTACAGCCTAGGCACTTTCTCTTGCCTTCTGATTGGCTGGGTGGAAATGTTGTCATATTGCTTCTACCTATCCAATCCTCTCAGATCTACAGGAGTGGCTGGGGAGTAAGGGCTGGGGGTCGATTTGGAATTCAGCAAACATGGGTCATATTCATCAGTGCACACTGTAGCCTAGTGAATATTACCCTGGTAATCCATGTCTGTTGTTGTTTCTGCCTCACCTTTGACCTCCAGGAGCAGGTTGGGTGTGGCGGTATAGCGGATGAGGCCGTCAGGAGTGATGTTCCAGCAGGAATGTTGTTTGGCAGGCTCAGGGGACACGCCCATACGACTGCCTGCCATGGCCACGCTACTGCATGGAACCACACAGCAATACTCAAGCATCTGGACAAACAGGGACATAGACAGAGAGTAGATTAGATTGGAAAACTTGATTACGCTCTAAAGAGGAAATCATTTGTGCAGCATACATACCAAAACTACAGACAGTAAATCACACACTTAAAAAAATGGGCCTGCTCACTCAAAAGTTATTCTACACCCAAAAAATGGATGGATGCTGGATCCTGGTCCATAATCCATGATTATCCTGGTCAATAACTTCAATTTATGTGAAGTTACAAGGCCACGTTCTTCTCTGGAAGTATAAAGTATATGTACTGAAGGTGCAACCCACGACCGAGACATAGACTACTAGATAGGTAGAATACTTAACAAATCTCCAAAGGGAAAATGTATTACCCAAGAACTGGGTCTGACACCCACTTTTGCGCAAACCCTACAGTGATGGTTCTAGTGCAGGGATATTCAAATCTGGACCTCGAATCAGGTTCCACTGCTGATTTTTATTCTTCCCCTCTAATCAAAGACTGATTAGACCTCGAATACCAGGTGGGTGCAATTAATTATCAGGTAGAACAGAAAACCAGCAGTACTCCAGCCTCAGATTGAAATACCCCTGCTCAAGTGCTTGTTATGCCACAGCACTAAATGTAGGGCTTTCCTGGCCTGTCCACCTGCACCTCTAAACACCCCGTTGCCATGACAATTGTCCCTAGCCATACCTTGCAGTGGAGATGTCCATCCTGATAGAACCAGATCTGTTCGACTCCGCCCGTCTCCTCCGTTGCCTGGATACGCATCAGCTTGACGTCGTCCATATCCCCGGTGACGGACATCAAAAGGCCCGCCTCCTGGCTCCTCAACCGGAAGTGCACCCGTCGCTGCTCAGGTAACACACACATGGACATGCATGGATACACACACATGCATATACACACACACACACACACACACACACACACACACACACACACACACACACACACACACACACACACACACACACAGACACACACACAGACAGGCACACAGACAGGCACACACACACACAGACAGGCACACACACACTGGATTAGGGCCTCTGTTTACTGTCTATAAACCACAGATAGTTCTCAGTACAAAGTGCTCTCAATGTACACTAAATATACAAAAGTATGTGGACACCCCTTCAAATGTGTGGATTCGGTTATTTCAGCTACACCCATTGCTGACAGGTGTATAAAATCAAGCACACAGCCATGCAATCTTCATAGACAAACATTGGCAGTAGAATGGCCTTACTGAAGAGCTCAGTGACTTTCAACGTGGCACGTCATAGGATGCCACCTTTCCAACAAGTCAGTTCGTCAAATTTCTGCCCTGCTAGTGTGGCCCCGGTCAACTGTAAGTGCTGTTATTGTGAAGTGGAAACGTCTAGAAGCAACAACGGCTTAGCCGCGAAATGATAGGCCACACAAGCTCACAGAACGGGACCGCCGAGTGCTGAAGCGTGTAGTGCGGAAAAAAACGTCTGTCCTCGGTTGCAACACTCACTACCGAGTTCCAAACTGCCTCTGGAAGCAACTTCAGCACAAGAACTGTTGGTCGGGAGATTAATTAAATGGGTTTTCATGGCTGAGCAGCCGCACACAAGCCTAAGATCACCATGCACAATGCCAAGCGTCGGCTGGAGTGGTGTAAAGCTTGCAGCCATTGGACTCTGGAGCAGTGGAAACTCGTTCTCTGGAGTGATGAATCACGCATCACCATCAGGCAGTCCGACGGACGAATCTGGTTTGACGGATGCCAGGAGAACGCTACCTGCCTGAATGCATAGTGCCAACTGTAAAGTTTGGTAGAGGAAGAATAATGGTCTGTTGCTGTTTTTCATGGATTGGGCAAGGCCCCTTAGTTCCAGTGAAGGGAAATCTTAACGCTACAGCAGAAAATGACATTCTAGACGATTCTGTGCTTCCAACTTTGTGGCAAAAGTTTGGGGAAGGCCCTTTCCTGTTTCAGCATGACAAGGCCCCCGTGCACAAAGTGAGGTCCATACAGAAATGGTTTGTCGTGATTGGTGTGGAAGAACTTAACTGGCCTGCAGAGAGCCCTGACCTCAACCCCATCTAACACCTTTGGGCTTAGGCAGGGATTCAATCCTAGGCCTGTTACAGAGCAGTGCACTAGAGAGCTGAAAAAGCACCTTTAAAAATGCTTTTTCCCTGACTTGTAGAGCTCGCATTTTGGCTCAAGTGTAAATTCCATTTAAAAGTCTGTTATAGTGCGCAGCTCTATTGACGTGCCTTGGATTGAATCCCGGCCTCAATCTCTGTGCGCCCACATAATCACGTAATCACATTTGAGATGGCTTTTCACCTGGATCAGTGGGCGCAGGGATCCGATTCGCTGCCAGCTACTGAACGTGCGCCAATCAGGCACCTCGCCGGGCTTCAGCAGAATCTGAGCACCACGGTAGTTGATCCCCTCATACAGCATCCACCTGTCAATCAAAGAAGTAAAGGGTCAATCAAAACCGAGTGTGACTCAAAACCCAAGTGTTAGTCATAGTCAAGTATCAATCAAAACCAAGTGTCAATTAAACTCACGTGTCAATAAAAAAGTAACAATACACCCTAGCAAAGCTTGGTATCTCACATATTACATTTGACTGAAATTATTTCTTACAGTGTCAATCAAAGACAAGGTAAAAACACAGTTACCAAACTAGGTGTCTCACATGTCATTTTAAGAAACTATTCCTTTGCCTTTTCACTCACTCAATCCCCATAAAAACACATCAACACAGTAACATGTGTCTGTGCGTTTGGGCCTTTGCTAATTTTATCGCTTTATCTGGAATCAAAAGCTCCATTCTCTCCCTGCAAGAATGTCCCACTCTTGAGTTATAGACCCTGCCGGGTCCCCTTGTGTTCCCGTGTGTTCCAGAGGTGAGTCCACACCTCCAGTCTGAATATCACACACAATCAATAATTTTCCACCGGTCCTGGACCAGACCTCATCTCACCGACATTTCCCTTCCCTCTTCCCATGATGCCTCGATTTGAGATTCCTACTTCCTGCTGACCTTGCGTTTGACACTAACCTCGTTCCCAGTCTAAATTGCTTCGGAGAGAGACGGCTGGTAGACAAGATTAGTTCTACACTAAACTTGATGCACCATTTCCATAACTGTGAACTGTGCAATAATAGGTCTGTAGTCACCTCACTAAACTATCTATGCAATAATAGCTACAACTATAATTCCCACACAGGCACCTTGTGTGAAGTGCATTGTGTTCTATGTTTACAAAAGGTTGATGAACTGTTCTGGGGGTGTTAATGGCAAGTGACAGTGGCAGTGAAGTTGTGCTATGACATGAGATACCTTTGGGTTTGTTTAATACATTGATGAATTCCCAAATTTTCCCCAGACATGCCACTATGCAAATCTTATGCCGAACATGTAGTCCATATTGCTTTTTTAAATACCAATATTGAAATTATTTAAAACATTATGTTTTATTTCGCAGTCACAATTGGGACCAATGGGAACAAAGTGCTCTGCCTATAATACAATAAAATTACATTTACCTCCATTCCTCAGCCCCAAAATCTACATACAGTGCATTCGGAAAGTCTTCAGATCCTTTGACTTTCTGCACATTTTGTTATGTTACAGCCTTATTCTAAAATTGATTAAATCAGTGTTTTTTCTTCATCAATCTACACACAATACCCCATAATGACAAAGCAAAATCACATTTTTAGAAAGGTTTGCAAATGTATTTGAAATATTACATTTACATAAGTATTCAGACCCTTTACTCAGTACTTTGTTGAAGCACCTTTGGCAGCGATTACAGCCTCAAGTATTCTTGGGTATGGCACTACAAGCTTGACACACCTGTATTTGAGGAGTTTCTCCCATTATTCTCTGCAGATCCTCTCAATCTCTGTCAGGTTGGATGGGGAGCGTCAGAGGTGTTCGACTGGGTTCAAGTCCGGGCTCTGGTTGGGCCACTCAAGGACATTCAGAGACTTGTCCCGAAGCCACTCCTGCGTTGTCTTTGCTGTGTGCTTAGGGTCGTTGTCCTGTTGGAAGGTGAACCTTCGCCCCCAGTCTGAGGACCTGAGCGCTCTGGAGCAGGTTTTCATCAAGGATCTCTCTGTACTTTGCTCCGTTCATCTTTCCCTCGATACTGACTAGTCTCCCAGTCCCTGCCAGGTTTCCTCTAGATGTGACGCTTGGCATTCAGGCCAAAGAGTTCAATCTTGGTTTTATCAGACCAGATAATCTTGTTTGTCATGGTCTGAAAGTCCTTTAGGTGCCTTTTGGCAACCTCCAAGCGGGCTGTCATGTGCCTTTTACTGAGGAGTGGCTTCCATCTGGCCACTCTACCATAAAGGCCTGATTGGTGGAGTGCCGCAGAGATGGTTGTCCTTCTGGAAGGTTCTCCCATCTCCACAGAGGAACTCTGGAGCTCTGTCAGAGTGACCATCGGGTTCTTGGTCACCTCCCTGACCAAGGCCCTTCTCCTCCGATTGCTCAGTTTGGCCGGGCGGCCAGCTGTAGGAAGAGTCTTGGTGGTTCCAAACTTCTTCCATTTAAGAATGATGGAGGCCATTTTGTTCTTGGGGACCTTCAATGCTGCAGACATTTTGTGGTACCCTTCCCCAGATCTGTTTCTCAACAAAATCCTATCTCGGAGCTCTACGGACAACCCCTTTGACCTCATGGCTAGGTTTTTGCTCTGACATGCACTGTCAACTATGGGACCTTATGTAGACAGGTATGTGCCTTTACCTTATGTAGACAGTAGCGACCTTTCGGTTACTGGCACAACGCTCTTACCCACTAAGCTACCTGCCGCCCCAATCAATCTAATTGTCTGCATCACTTCCAATCCCCCATATGTTTTTTTCTCTCGCAAAAATACAGTTGAAGTCGGAAGTTTACATACACTTAGGTTGGAGTCATTAAAACTTGTTTTTCAACCATTCCACAAATTTCTTGTTAACAAACTATAGTTTTGGCAAGTCGGTTAGGACATCTACTTTGTGCAAGACACAAGTAATTTTTCCAACAATTGTTTACAGACAGATTATTTCACTTATAATTCACTGTATCACCATTCCAGTGGGTCAGAAGTTTACATACACTAAGTAGACTGTGCCTTTAAACAGCTTGGAAAATTCCAGAGTAAAACAAGGAATTGCAAATAAATTCATTAAAAATCCTACAATGTGATTTTCTGGATTTTTTTTCTCAATTTGTCTGTCATAGTTGACGTGTACCTATGATGAAAATTACAGGCCTCTCTCATCTTTTTAAGTGGGAGAACTTGCACAATTGGTGGCTGACTAAATACTTTTTTTCCCCACTGTATATACATTTTATGGACACAGTCAATTTAACAATAATTATATTTTGTTTGTTTTTACTCCTGAACTTCCTCTACCCTCAACCTCTCTGATCATTTTCATGATGTTTGCCTCTATATGCCATATCTTTCTAACTGTGCTCTTTCACAAAAGCTCTCAACCTATAACCCATATACTTATTATGGACTCAGTATGCTTTACATTAGTTATCCTGTTGTTATTAGTTGTTGTTAGTTGTTATTAGTCCCATCCTTCAGCTCCATTCAACACCTCCCATCTATCTCTTAACACCATCCATATTGGATTTCTATTTGCCATATATTTTTCAACTGTACTGTGATGTTTCACAAAAGTTCTGAACCCTTCTATTCTCATTGTAAATTGAAAATAAACATTTTTGCTAAAAGTATTATTATATTATTGATCGATTGACTATGACTTTTCAGATCACCCAGTAGTGCTATCTGCAGGGTTAGCTCCAGGTAAATATTGCAATCCTTCAGCCATTCCTGGACCTTTGACCAAAAACAAGCTACAAATGGACAGTACCAAAACAAATTATCTAATGATTCTGTCTCTTCGCAGCAAAATCTGCAGAGCTGGAAGATTGTATCCCCCATATAAATAACGTTCTATTGGTAGCAAGAATTTTGGCCGCCCAACAACCTGCCCGCTTGACCCCATCCCCTCCTCTCTTCTCCAGACCATCTCCGGTGACCTTCTCCCCTACCTCACCTCGCTGATCAACTCATCCTTGACCGCTGGCTATGTCCCTTCCGTCTTCAAGAGAGCGAGAGTTGCACCCCTTCTCAAAAAACCAACACTCGATCCCACTGATGTCAACAACTACAGACCAGTATCCCTTCTTTCTTTTCTTTCCAAAACTATTGAGCGTGCCGTCTTTAGCCAACTCTCTTGCTATCTCTCTCAGAATGACCTTCTTGATCCAAACCAGTCAGGTTTCAGGACTGGTCATTCAACTGAGACTGCTCTTCTCTGTGTCACGGAGGCTCTCCGCACTGCTAAAGCTAACTCTCTCTCCTCTGCTCTTGTCCTTCTAGACCTGTCTGCTGCCTTTGATACTGTGAACCATCAGATCCTCCTCTCCACCCTCTCCGAGCTGGGCATCTCCGGCGCGGCTCACTCCTGGATTGCGTCCTACCTGACCGGTCGCTCCTACCAAGTGGCGTGGCGAGAAGCTGTCTCCGCACCACGTGCTCTCACCACTGGTGTCCCCCAGGGCTCAGTTCTAGGCCCTCTCCTATTCTCCCTATACACCAAGTCACTTGGCTCTGTCATATCCTCACATGGCCTCTCCTATCACTGCTACGCTGACGATACACAACTAATCTTCTCCTTTCCCCCTTCTGATAACCAGGTGGCGAATCGCATTTCTGCATGTCTGGCAGACATATCAGTATGGATGACGGATCACCACCTCAAGCTGAACCCTGGCAAGACGGAGCTGCTCTTCCTCCCGGGGAAGGACTGCCCGTTCCATGATCTCGCCATCACGGTTGACAACTCCGTTGTGTCCTCCTCCCAGAGTGCGAAGAGCCTTGGCGTGACCCTGGACAACACCCTGTCGTATCCGCTAACATCAAGGCGGTGACCCGATCCTGCAGGTTCATGCTCTACAACATTCGGAGAGTACGACCCTGCCTTACACAGGAAGCGGCACAGGTCCTAATCCAGGCACTTGTCATCTCCCGTCTGGATTACTGCAACTCGCTGTTGGCTGGGCTCCCTGCCTGTGCCATTAAACCCCTACAACTCATCCAGAATGCCGCAGCCCGTCTGGTGTTCAACCTTCCCAAGTTCTCTCACGTCACCCCGCTCCTCCGCACACTCCACTTGCTTCCAGTTGAAGCTCGCATCTGTTACAAGACCATGGTGCTTGCCTATGGAGCTGTGAGGGGATCGGCACCTCTGTACCTTCAGGCTCTTATCAGTCCCTACACCCAAACGAGGGCATTGCGTTCATCCACCTCTGGCCTGCTGGCTCCCCTTCCTCTGCGGAAGCATAGTTCCCGCTCAGCCCAGTCAAAACTGTTCGCTGCTCTGGCACCCCAATGGTGGAACAAGCTCCCTCACGACGCCAGGACAGCGGAGTCACTCACCACCTTCCGGAGACATTTGAAACCCCACCTCTTTAAGGAATACCTGGGATAGGATAAAGTCATCCTTCTACCCCCCCCCCCCCCCCCCCCCCCCCCTGAATTTTTTTTAAAAATAATAATAATACAAAATATATAAAAAAAAAACATATTGTAAAGTGGTTATCCCACTGGCTATAGGGTGAATGCACCAATTTGTAAGTCGCTCTGGATAAGAGCGTCTGCTAAATGACGTAAATGTAAATGTAAATGTAATAATAATTGAAATTGAAAAATTCTAAGTTTTGAATCTGCGTCATTTTGCGTATCCATTCATAAACACTATGCCATGGAATCGGTACGTCAAAATCTCTTCCCAACTATTTTGCAATCTATATGGGACGGCTGTCAATCCTTTGGTCCTTAAATGAAACTGGTATACTTTCTTATTTATCACAATTTTCTTTAACCAGTTATGTTCTTTAATGCAGGGCCGACAGACAAGTTTCTTTCTTTTTCCCCCTTCCACTTTCCTCTTCCATTTTTGCAGTAGTGCTGCAATTATTTGGTTGTAATTTTGGGTAGCGCAGACATTTCCATGATATAATTTACGAAGATTAAACTTTTTTTTTTACAATCAAAAAGTAATGTTTTTTTTTTAATCAATTAGTATATTTGAGTTTAACCACAATATTTGATGCATTATTTGTTCTGTCGTCCTGGAAGATTAAATTGAAATTGTAACAAACTTTCTATGGCTTGTTTTAGAAATAGTGATATTTGGGAGATGATTTCCTTTTCAAATAACTGAAAGTAAGAGGTAGTAATCTGAATAAAGGGGAAAAGGCCATTCTTGAAAATGGGGTGAGACAATCTTACTAATTTGGTAGAGAACCAGTTTGGATTTAAGTATAACTTTTGTATGACTGAAGCTTTTAGTGATAGGTCTAATTTTTTAATATTTAATAATTTCTGTCCTCCGAATTCATATTCATTATATAAATAGGCCCGTTTAATTTTGTCTGGCTTGCCGTTCCAAATAAAATGGAATCTTTTTGTGTCAAATAATTAAAAAAACTGTTCGCTAGGCGTAGGCAAGACCATAAGCAAATAGGTAAACTGGGATAATACTAAAGAGTTAATCAGGGTGATTTTTCCACAAATAGACAGGTATTTGTGGTCCCGTGTATCTCAGTTGGTAGAGCATGGCGCTTGCAACGCCAGGGTTGTGGGTTTGATTCCCATGGGGGACCAGTACAAAAATGTATGCACTCACTACTGTAAGTCGCTCTGGATAAGAGTGTCTGCTAAATGACAAAATGTAAACTGTATTTACCTTTCCATGGTAGCAAGATCTTATCTATTTTTGCTAACTTTCTATTGAAATGTATTGGAGTGTGATATTATTGTTGGATCTGATTTTAATAGCTAACATTTCAATGGCCATAATAAATAGATATGCTGATAATGGACAACCTTGTTTTACTCCTCTTGACAGTTTAAAACTTTTTGAGAAATAGACATGATTTACTATTTTACACCTAGGGTTACTATACATGATTTTAACCCATTTTATAAGAGATTCTCCAAAATTGAAATGCTCCAGGCATTTATATATAAACTCCAGTCGTACTTGATCCCTTTTCAAAGTCTGCTATGAATAGCAGGACTGGTTTACCAGATTTTTCATAGTGTTCTTTTGTTTCCAGTACTTGCCTTATATTATCTCCAATGTATCGTTAATGTAAAAAACCTGTCTGATTAGAATGAATAATGTCCGACAATACCTTTTAAATTCTATGCGCTATACATTTTGCTAGAATTTTTGCATCACAACACTGTGGCGCCAGAGAAGATGGCTGCCATTTTACAGCCCTCTAACCAATTGTACTATTATGTGTGTTTTTCCGCGTTATTTGTAATTTATTTTGTACATAATGTTTCTGCCATCGTCTCTTATAACCAAAAAGAGCTTCTGGATATCAGGACAGCGATTACTCACCTCGTATTGGACGAATATTTTTTCTTCAACGAGGCGGCCGCGAACGATATCCTACAGACACCCGACAAGGCCCAAATCCCCGTCATTCGCATTAGGAAGAGACAGAGATATCGTGGACGTAGGTCGGGGTGCCTTGTAAGGATCCGACGGTGAGCGAGTAAACTGCCTCTCCCATCAATCCTATTAGCCAATCTTCAATCATTTGAGAATAAATGGGATGACCTAAGATTACGGTTATCCTACCAATGGGACATTAAAAACGATAATATCTTATGTTTCACCGAGTCGTGGCTGAACGATGACATGGACAACATACAGCTAGTGGGCTATACGCTACATCGGCAGGATAGAATGGCTGACTCCGGTAAAACAAGGGGTGGCGGTCTGTGTATATGTGTAAACAACAGCTGGTGCATAAAATCAAATACTAAGGAAGTCTCGAGGTTTTGCTCGCCTGAGTTAGAGTATCTTATGATAAGCTGTAGACCACACTATTTACCAAGAGAGTTTTCATCTATATTTTTCATAGCTGTCTATTTACCACCACAAACCAATGCTGGCATTAAGATTGCACTGAATGAGCTGTATAAGGCCATAAGTCAACAGGAACATGCTCATCCAGAGGCTGCGCTCCTAGTGGCCGGGGACTTTAATGCAGGGAAACTTAAATCCGTTCTACCTAATTTCTACCAGCATGTTAAATGTGCAACCAGAAGGGGAAAAAAAACTCTAGACCACCTTTAATCCACACACAGAGACTCATACAAAGCTCTCCCTCGCCCTCCATTTGGCAAATCTGACCATCTATCCTCCTGATTCCTGCTAAAAACTAAAGCAGGAAGCACCAGTGACTCGGTTAATAAAAAAGTGATTCTTCAGATAGCATTGAGGAGTACACCACATCTCTCACTGGCTTCATCAATAAGTGCATTGATGATGTCGTCCCCACAGTGACCGTACATACATACCCCAACCAGAAGCCATGGATTACAGGAAACATCCGCACTGAGCTAAAGGGTAGAGCTGCCGCTTTCAAGGAGCGGGACTCTAACCCGGACGCTTATAAGAAATCCCGCTATGCCCTCCGACGAACCATCAAACAGGCAAAGAGTCAATACAGGACTAAGATTGAATCGTACTACACCGGCTCTGACACTCGTCGGATGTGGCAGGGCTTGAAAACTATTACAGACTACAAAGGGAAGCACAGCCACGAGCTGCCCAGTGACACAAGACTTCCAGACGAGCTAAACCACTTCTATGCTCGCTTCGAGGCAAGCAACACTGAAGCATGCATGAGAGCACCAGCTGTTCCGGATGACTATGTGATCACGCTCTCCGTAGCCGATGTGAGTAAGAGTTTTAAGTAGGTCAACATTCACAAGGCCGCAGGGCCAGACGGATTACCAGGACGTGTACTCTGAGCATGTGCTGACCAACTGGCAAGTGTCTTCACTGACATTTTCAACATGTCCCTGACTGAGTCTGTAATACCAAAATGTTTCAAGCAGACCACCATAGTCCCCGTGCCCAAGGACACTAAGATAACCTGCTTAAATGACTACCGACCCATAGCACTGACGTCTGTAGCCATGAAGTGCTTTGAAAGGCTGGTCATGGCTCACATCAACACCATTATCCCAGAAACCCTAGACCCACTCCAATTTGCATACCGCCCCAACAGATCCACAGATGATGCAATCTCTATTGCACTCCACACTGTCCTTTCCCACCTGGACAAGAGGAACACCTACGTGAGAATGCTATTCATTGACTACAGCTCAGCATTCAACACCATAGTGCCCTCAAAGCTCATCACTAAGCTAAGGATCCTGGGACTAAACACCTCCCTCTGCAACTGGATCCTGGACTTCCTGACGGGCCGCCCCCAGGTGGTAAAGGTAGGTAACAACACATCTGCCACACTGATCCTCAACACAGGGGCCCCTCAGGGGTGTGTGCTCAGTCCCCTCCTATACTCCCTGTTCGCCCATGACTGCATGGCCAGGCACGACTCCAACACCATCATTAAGTTTGCCGACGACACAACAGTGGTAGGCCTGATCCCCGACAACGATGAAACAGCCTATAGGGAGGAGGTCAGAGACCTGGCCGTGTGGTGCCAGGATAACAACCTCTCCCTCAACGTGACCAAGACAAAGGAGATGATTGTGGACTACAGGAAAAAAAAGAGGACTGAGCACGCCCCCATTCTCATCGACGGGGCTGTAGTGGAACAGGTTGAAGCTTCAAGTTCCTTGGTGTCCACATCACCAACAAACTATCATGGTCCAAACACACCAATACAGTCATGAAGAGGGCACGACAAAGCCTATTCCCCCTCAGGAGACTGCACCATCGAGAGCATCCTGACTGGTTGCATCACCAACTGGTATGGCAACTGCTTGGCCCCCGACCGCAAGGCACTACAGAGGGTAGTGTGTACGAATACCTGTCTATTTGTGTACTGGCTCTATACCAGGCGGTGTCAGAGGAAGGCCCTCAAAATTGTCAAAGACTCCAGCCACCCTAGTCATAGACTGTTCTCTCTGTTACGGCATTGGCAAGCGGTACCGGAGTGCCAAGTCTAGGTCCAAAATACTTCTCAACAGCTTCTACCCCCAAGCCATAAGACTCCTGAACAGCTAATCATGGCTACCCGGACTATTTGCACTGCCCCCCACCAACACCCCCCACCCCATCTTTTTACGCTGCTGCTACTCTGTTAATTATTCATGCATAGTCACTTTAACTCTACCCACATGTACATATTACTTCAACTACCTCAACTAGCTGGTGCCCCCGCACATTGACTCTGCACCGGTACCCCCTGTATATATAACCTCCCTACTGTTATTTTATTTTACTTCTGCTCTTTTTTTCTCAACACTTTTTTTGTTGTTGTTTTATTTCACTTTTTTTATTAAAAATAAATGCACTGTTGGTTAAGGGCTGTAAGTAGGCATTTCACTGTAATGTCTGCACCTGTTGTATTCCAATAAAATTTGATTTGATTTGACGTGTAAGGGGCCTCCAATTTTTTTAATGAACTGGATCTTTATATTTCCCACTTGTATCCTGTTTCAGTAGTAATGAAATTAGACCTTCTTCTTGAGTGTCTGATAATCCATCATTTACATAGGAGTGGTTAAAACATGCAAATAACGGTCCTCTGAGTATATCAAAAAAGGTTTGGTATACCTGTACTGGTGTGCCATCCAACCCTGGAGTTTTCCTGGACTTAAATTATTTAATTGCATCCAGAAGTTCCACCTCTGTAATTTAACCTTCACATTAGTCTTTCTGTATGGCTGTTAATTTTACGTTATCAATAAAATAAAATAAACTACAATTAGCTTCAGTTAGAGGAGATGGAGGCGACTGAAATGAAAACATATGCTTAAAGTACTTTGCTTCTTCCTTCAAAATATCATTTGGGGAATCATGGGTGACTCCGTCATTTGAAACCAGTTTCAGTAAATTATTTTTGGTAGCATTTCTATGTTGAAGATTTAAAAAGAATTTGGTGCAATTTTCCCCATATTCCATCCAGTTTGCTTTATTTTTATAATATGTTACACTTGATCTTTCTCGAATAAGTTTCTCAATTTCTTTTAGTTTTTCCTCTAATGTATTCTGAGCCTCTATGTTACAGTTTTTATTGCTATCTATCTGTTCTGTTAGACCTTCTATTTGCTTTGTTAGTATGGACTCTTTTGACCTAAATTGCTTTTGTTTTCGAGTACTGAATTGCATGGCCTCTAAAGGCACATTTAAAAGTGTCCCATACAATAAGGGGATTTGCTGTACCTATGTTATGTCAGAAAAAAATCAGTTATAAATTCCTCTGTCCTAGTTAAAAACAAGTTATCATCCAATAGGCTTTGATTACATTTCCAATATCCTCGCCCACGTGGAAATTCAGTAAGAGTAATGTATATGCCAATTATATGATGGTCCGGCCGCATTCTGTTCCCTATCAACACTTTTTAAACTTTTGGTGCCAACGAGAATGACATAAGAAAGAAGTCAAGACGACTAGCTGGATTCAGTCTCCGCCATGTATATCTCACTAGGTCAGGATATTTAGGCCTCTATATATCTACTAGTTCTAATGTATCCATGACATTCATGATTTCCTTAAGAGCATGAGGGTGATAGTTTGTAGTGTGATTTCTTTTACGGTCCATTGAGCTATTTAAAACAGTATTATAATCACCCACCATAATAATAGAGTCTTGTATTGCTTGCAGGGTTGATAATTTATTATATATATTGTCAAAGTGTGGATCATCCTTATTTGCTCCGTAAAGGTTAATGAGCCATATCTGTTTATGGTCCAATAACATTTTTTTTTTTTTTTTTTTTTTTTTTTTTTTTTTTTTTGTCATTTAGCAGACGCTCTTATCCAGAGCGACTTACAGTTAGTGCATACATTATATATTTATTTTTTCCCCCTGTGGGAAATGAACCCACAACCCTGGCGTTGCAAACGCCATGCTCTATCAACTGAGCTACATCCCTGCCGGCCATTCCCTCCCCTACCCTGGACAACACTGGGCCAATTGTGCGCCGCCCCATGGGTCTCCCGGTCGCGGCCGGCTACGACAGAGCCTGGATTTGAACCAGGATCTCTAGTAACACAGCTAGCACTGTGATGCAGTGCCTTAGACCACTGCGCCACTCGGGCGCAGTGGTCTATTATTTAAAATAATCTGTCTACCTTGCTGATCTGTTTGGACAGTTTGCACATTCGGATCGAAATTACTGTTAATTAATATCATCACCCCTTTTGAGTTTCTTTGCCCATGGGAGAAGTATATTTGCACCCCCCCCCCCCCCCCCCCCCCCCCCCCCCCCCCCCCCAAGTCCTTTTTCCACACAACTTCATCTAGAATTGTTGAATGAGTTTCCTGTAAACAATATATATTATATTCCTTCTCTTTGAGTCATGTAAATATTGTTCTTCTTTTGTTATTATCTGCTAAGACATTACAATCAGCCCAGTTACCCATTTCCTAGGTCACCAACAGTAACTATCCAGCTATTCGCTGCACACCCCAACCTTGTTATTTGCATATCTTAGTCCTGTGACCTCTGAGCTGTATACGCTAATCATTTAATAGATCAACTCATAGTACAGTGGTATAACACATGTACCCCAGCCCCATTCACTTTTTTCCTACCTCAAACTTGTTGCCAGGATTTGAATGGGCAATAGACATCCATCCGGACCAATTACCTGTACTAGCCTTGTGTTTCCTTACACCCCATTACTCATATAAACCAGGTGTTAGGTTCAAAACTAACCGAGTAAAACTCACGGACGATTAGTAAAGCTCAACCAAGTTTATTCACCCACTGGGTCCCACAGCTGCATAAGACATGTTTCCACCAGCACAAGTATATATACCCCAATTTGGGTGAAGTATTCTCCCTTCCCTCTAAACATTACGTGTTTATTGCTAGGCAGGAAGTTAAGTGATGTGGGCAATAAACTGTTCCTTCTACCTTAATGTGACCTGACCTGACCTCACTCCTCACTGATCCACAGCTATCCACCCTTATCAGTGACTGCAACCATGTGATTGCCTCCACCATACACTTTCCTCCTACAGATAACCATTAACTTCTGGTGTAGAACCAAGACCACGGCACTCCTCATTTCCATAGGATACTTGATAATTACCAATAACATGTTCTGTCAGAACTTACACGTCCTGCATTCCTCTCCCTCCCTCTGTGACATGATTAAGGATATTTCTAGTTTATAAGTCAGAAACCATCACAGGTAAATCCATGGGCATGCTCATATAAAACAGGTCTACCCCAGTGCCCAAGCCTCAACATTCATACAAACCAGGTCTACACCTGTACTTCAGCTCCAAATTACATACCTACAGAGTGTGCACATGTGCTTGAACCCAATTAGTCAACTAAGCCAGGTCTAAATATGTGCCGAAGCCTGAACACTCATAAACTGTAAACCAGGTCTGTATGGACTGTAAGGAAAAAAGATCTTGTTTCCTGGGGAACCCTGTACGATTCTCTTAGACAAAAGCGCATGTACGCACACATGCATGCACGCACGCACACACTCCCTCCCAAGCAACACACCCACACACAGAGCTCTGTCTGCGGTTAGGAGGGGCCCCATCACTTTGTCCACATGCTTGAGCGCACAGCTTGGGGAGGAGTGTCTGGTGCGCGAGACTAGGAGGCTGCATGCATACAAACATATGACCTCGGACAGACAGACAGGCAGGTAGGCAGAAAGACAAGCAGGCAAGCATGTAGGCAGACATAAAGGCAGACAGACAAACAAACAGACAGAGACATAAAGATGGACTGTAATGTGTGTACTCACATCCCTCCCTCCACCAGGACAGACTGGACCCGGCTGCAGCCTCCGGCCAGCTGCAGGTTGATCGAGCCGGCGGACAGAACCACCCTCTTTCCCCGCAGACCTGACCTCTCAAACAGGGTGACCGAGGGCAGAGAAAACTCCTATGAGGAGAGAGAGAGAGCGAGAGAGAGAGAGAGAGAGAGGAATACCAACGTTATTTTGAGTAAGTTTGAGGTTTTTAAGGTTATTATGTCCCCTGATAACCTCATGAAGAACAATCACTCTTTCCATGTCTGGTGACCTTTTTATTGTTTGAATGACTAAACATTTTCATACATTTAAATATCATGAGATACCGACCTTAAACATTCCACTAACTAAATCACCTCGACTCAACCTACTCAAACATCTCCCTAGCCAAGCAGCATATATCGAGATAGACTCTGCCACTATTCCTATTGGTTACCCTTTACACCAAACAATTGTCCAAAAACAATGACTTTTTGGGATTAATGAGTCATGTGATTTGTGGGACCAAAATGTATTGGATGAAATACTGGAAAAAGCAGTTTTTTCTTTCTGCCATTTATACATTACATTATTATTTGTGCCATGGAGGATTGACAGAATGTCTAAAATGGCCCCATATTCCAAGCAGTGCACCATAAAGGTAATAGGGTTCCATTTGGAACACAACCAGATAGATAATAGACACGGTACTCACAAAGCCAGTGGTCTGCATGGACAGGACAGAGGAGTTGGGCCCCACACACCCCATGGCCCTCAGATCAGGGTAGTCCCCCTCCTCTAACACATACTTCCTCTCAGTGAAGCGCTGGCCCTCGAACGCCAGCCAGCTGGAACACACACAAGCACACATGTGCACACACACACACACAAACAGAAAGAGGAGACAATTTGTCAATCAGGTATTATTTTTCTCCATTACATCATCATAATGTTCCAACAGCAAATGTACAAAGTACTAGTATTTACTAAATGTAGATATACATTACTTTGGGCACAAGTCCCTTAATCTAGCAAATTATGTAGCTAATGGTAAAGGAAAGATACTATAAATGTTACTAAATGCATCTATGGAACAGTATTATGGAACAGTGTAGAACTTTGGAGGAATAACATGCTGTAAGTGCTGTACTCACCTGCCAGCCAGCACCCTGCAGGAACCCAGGGAGAACCCGTGTGGCAGGGCAGGAACACTGTCCTCTAGAACCTGGACAGAACCCTGGAACCCAGGCTCCGAGAACAACTGTATCTGAGATACACAACAGATACAAAGTCAGATTCTGTCAAATATGTGGCTTTCATGGAGTGGTTTCCAAAATGACAAAGACATGTAGGTTGGTTCTGTTGTTTTTAGTTGACTTACCTTAAAATTGGCTGATTTTCCCAGATTATCCTAAAAATAAACCACAAATGAGGGCATTATTAAGAGAACTGAGGAAATGATTTTACAGTTCTTGGATCAGCCTATTGGTCATAGATTACTTTGTTATTTTCACTGGGTGTCCCAAGTGGCACACTGTTCCCTATAAAGTGCACTACTCCCACTCCATAGATTACTTTGTAATTATCATTATCTCTTTGTCCATCATCCATACGGTATGGCCCATGTCAATCCTCCCACGTTGCCCCCCTTCCAAAAGGAGGTAACTGATTCGAGTATATTTCAATTGTATTTCAATTATTTTATAAAGTTAATCATTTAAATTTGCAATATTAATACTTTATAATATGAATAATGTATAATTATAATACACAGTACAAGTCAAAAGTTTGGACACACCTACTCATTCCAGGGTTTTTCTTTATTTTTACTATTTTCTACATTGTAGAATAATAGTGAAGACATCAAAACTACGAAATAACACATATGGAATCATGTAGTAATAAATAAAGTGTTAAACAAATCAAAATATATTTTAGATTTTAGATTCTTCAAAGTAGCCACCTTTTGCCTTGACAGCTTTGCACACTCTTGGCATTCTCTCAACCAGCTTCATGAGGAATGCTTTTCCAACAGTCTTGAAGGAGTTCCCACATATGCTGAGCCCTTGTTGGTTGCTTTTCCTTCACTCTGTGGTCCAACTCATCCCAAACCATCTCAATTGGGTTGAGGTCGAGTGATTGTGGAGGCCAGGTCATCTGATGCAGCACTCCATCACTCTCCTTCTTGGTCAAATAGCCCTTACACAGCCTGGAGGTGTGTTTTGGGTCATTGTCCTGTTGAAAAACTAATTATTTTCCCACTAAGGGCAAACCAGATGGGATGGCGTATTGCTGCAGAATGCTGTGGTAGCCATGCTGGTTAAGTGTGCCTTGAATTCTAAATAAATCACAGACAGTGTCACCAGCAAAGCACCCCCACACCATCATACCTTCTCCATGTTCACGGTGGGAACTACACATGCGTAGATCATCCATTCACCTACTCTACATCTCACAAAGACATGGCGGTTGGAACCAAAAATCTCAAATTTGGACTCATCAGACCAAAGGACAGATTTCCACCAGTCTAATGTCCATTGATCGTGTTTCTTGGCCCAAGCAAGTCTCTCTTCTTATTGGTGTCCTTTATTAGTGGTTTCTTTGCAGCAATTCGACCATGAAGACCTGATTCACACAGTCTCCTCTGAACAGTTGATGTTGAGACGTGTCTGTGACTTGAACTCTGTGAAGCATTTATTTGGTCTGCAATCTGTGGTGCAGTTAACTCTAATGAACTTATCCTCTGCAGCAGAGGTAACTCTGGGTCTTCCTTTCCTGTGGCGGTCCACATGAGAGCCAGTTTCATCATAGCGACTGCACTTTAAAAGTTCTTGAAATTTTACGGATCGACTGACCTTCATGTCTTAAAGTAATGATGCACTGTCGTTTCTCTTTGCTTATTTGAGCTGTTCTTGCCATAATATGGACTTTTACCAAATAGGGCTATCTTCTGTATACCACCCCTACCTTGTCACAACACAACTGATTGGCTTAAACGCATTAAGAGGGAAAGACATTCCTCAAATTAACTTTTAACAAGGCACAACTGTTAATTAAAATGCATTCCAGGTAACTACCTCATGAAGCTGGTTGAAAGAATGCCAAGAGTTTGCAAAGCTGTCATCAAGGCAAAGGGTGGCTACTTTGAACAATCTAAAATCTAAAATATATTTTGATTTGTTTAACACTTTTTTGGTTACTACATGATTCTATATGTGTTATTTCATAGTTTTGATGTCTTCGCTATTATTCTACAATGTAGAAAATAGTAAAAATAAAGAAAAACCCTTGAATGAGTAGGTGTGTCCAAACTTCTTTACTGGTACTGTACATTATTTACCAGAATGACGGGCATGATGGAGCTGATTTTGGAGCTAAGGGCCCCCCAGTCCTCCGGGCTTCCGTAGAGGCCTTTCTCCAACACATACACCTTTCCAGAGAACCCTGCCTCCTCGAACACCACCCACCTAGGTGGGACACATGGGGGCCATATTCATTAGGGCACAACATATCAAAACATTTTGCAAGTTCAGTTAGTCCCTCGATGTTTCAGTCCGAGGGCCAACATTTTGGTGAACAATTGGCAGTGAGCAGTGAGCAAAATAACAATATAATTTCTAACAGAAGTTCCAAAGATTGCAACATGTGGTTGCATCGCATGCATCCACGAATCACACAGTTGACTAAATTCAAGTACGTTTTCCAAACTTCCCAAGCTTTCCAGAAATCCCGGTTGGAGGATTCCTGGAATCAGGACGGAATAAGCAGGAAATCCGGAATCCTCCAAGCAGGATCTCTGGAAATCCGGGGAATTTAGGGAAAGTTACCAGAATTTGGCAAACCTAAACACACACACCATTAGAGAAAAATTTCAGATTAAACTGTGCTGCACATTATGAGTTTTATTTTTATTTTTTACAGATCTGTGCTCTTTAGATGGATGTCACCCGAAGACACAATCTATGGCAACTGAATAGATAGCAAGACGTATCTAAGAAGTATCTAATTAATGTAATAAAACCAAGGTTAATATTTTACATTAACATTGACATTTCAGATCAAACATGTAGATAAGATTAGCTCTTACGTTCCCATGCACACTTTTAATTAATGTTGTCTTTGATTAAAGTATCTTTGATGGCTGTGTGTGTGTGTGTGTGTGTGTGTGTGTGTGTGTGTGTGTGTGTGTGTGTGTGTGTGTGTGTGTGTGTGTGTGTGTGTGCGTACAGGATAGAAAAGACCACAGCAGAAGCTGAGGAGAGTGAGAGAGAGTGTGAGAGCGTGAGAGAGCGAGAGCGAGATAAATAGTGTGTGTGTCTGTGTGTGTGTGCATGCCTGCATGTGTGTGTGTGTGTGTGTTGAAGACCACAGACAAGTCTCTATCTGCTGGGTTGAGTCAACAGGTTGAATCACAGAGTTTAGTTAGAACTTCACAAACGGAAGAAGCACGACAACGATGAGGTTGTACAGTACACTATAATAACAGGGTAACAGGGTTCACAACACATTAACATAACCAGAGATGTACCTCCAAAAGCAAGGCAAAGTGTTCCGCTGCACATACAATACACCACCATTTTGTGAGCTATACGGCAATGAATTCCAAGTACTGTAGATACATTTTATGTCTACTTTCTTCTACCAAAAACGAAATGTTCAGCATGTCAATAAAGTAATCAACAATATGATAATATCAAATTTGCAACAAAAAAAGGAAATACAAGGTATGATTTATGATTTGTCAATACAAGAAAACAGGCCTAGTCTGTAAACAAAACTTGGGATAGGTAAAATAAAGCCCAAACATGAATTTAGCCCAACTTGCCGCTGATAACTTCAAAACTCCACAAGTCATTCACAAGCATTTAACCTGGTTAGCCCTTTATCCCAAAACATTGAACCAGAAAGCTTAGTAAATCCTTGTATAAGACAACACTGTTACAGTTGTAATTGAAAGGATTATTATATTGTCATTCAGCTAACTCTGACCGCCTGTGACTTATTTCAGTACTCCTGCACCACCTTGTTCCCACGCTTATGCCCTCTGGCCATTGACACAGGGATGTGGGCTGGTTACATGACCAACTGACAGATAGACACAGGAAATTAGGTGTGGACTGAACTGAACATCTGAGGCGGTTTGGCGCCCTGTCTCAACGTGTTGAGGCGGGGAGTGGCAGCCAGCCTACAGTCAGCTCTACAACTACAATCATGTTTATTAGGGACAAAACGTACAAAAACGGAGTGAAACATGTAGGGACTACCTGAACTTGTCCAATGAGAAACGCTTGTTTTTGTTTCCTTTTTAAAACCCCTACTGAACTCAACCCTACTGAACTAGACCCTGAGCTGGAGAGAATTAACTTTATACTGTACATGAATGAACGCGTTAGACATATAGTGAGAAACAATTAGCTAGCACAGGCACATTTGTAATAGTGTTAAGGCTGTGGTCCTCTATATCTCAGCTGGTAGAGCACGGCGCGTGTAACGCCAGGGTAGTGGGTTCGATCCCCGGGACCACCCATACACAAAAATGTATGCACGCATGACTGTAAGTCGCTTTGGATAAAAGCGTCTGCTAAATGGCATATTATATTATATTAATATTATTATAGAGGGCTGCACATGCTGTAAGATAGTGTGTGTCAATCTCTAGGCTCACTTATAACTTGCATATCTTTAAACTGAGACTGTGATATGACATTGCCACGAGCAGCGCAGCAGACGATGCACTCCCAGCGTATTCACAGAGTATCTGTGCATGTGCACGGGTGTGCTTCAATAGCTACAACCTGATATCTGCGGGACCAAAAAAGCAGAGAAGTTTACACTCGTGCTTCAACGCTCCTTTCCTTTCCTTTCTTAGTTGTTGCAAAAATCGTCCCAATATTGCTGTTTACTTCGCTGACTCTACCTTTAACTAGGTTCAAATATGCTTTCAGAAGCTACACTGTTTGGCTAGTCAGCTAACTTTTTCACAGCTAGCAGGAAACTAACTTATTTTTATTAGAACACTAAGATTTCCGGTTTTGTCAGTCAGGTAGTACACATGCCACTATAGCACACCTACACAGGTAGGCAGGAAGTTAACTCACGGAAGTCAACTGTTCAGATGCAGTGATAATAATTAAGCTTGCCTGACCTCTGACCCCTGACCTCAGCTACATAAGCTCACTGGAGTATTTAAATCAGGACAGTAAATGAGTGGGTTACAGTTTGTCTCATTACATTCAAACTGAATAGCAGAGCACCGTCCTGGCATTCTCTATTCAACTAACTGGTCATTTTCCTATTAAACAAAAAGACCTGGCAAGGGAGACTTAAAGCCACAATCTAATATTCCCTGCTGTTAAAAGGTCATTTCAATTAATGGTCATGGATCAATAGGTATTTTTGAATTTGAAAGTGGTTATATTTCCCTAGCCCTATCCCTAAACTTACCAAAGAAAGTGGCATGGTCAAGTTGTTGAAATTGAAGATTGCAGCTTTAACAGTGCACATCAGAGGTGGAAACAGAGAAAGAAAATGAGATATCAGACTTACACTCCGCCCATAACGTGGAGAGACTGCGTCTTCAGCCCGTAGCCAATCTCCTCCATATTGATGATAGGTTCTATGAGGTCGATGTTACCGCCCAACTCGCCAAAGTCTCTCTCGCTGAACATTTTGATGTGCGGGGACATGAAATCCTGTCATGGGAAAAAAATTATGAACAACAATATATGCCATTTAGCAGACGCTTTTATCCAAAGCAACTTATAGTCATGCTTGCATACATTTTACATATGGGTGGCCCCAGGAATCAAACCCACAACCCTGGCAGTGCAAGCGCCATGCTCTACCAACTGAGACACACAGGACCACAAGTCATTTGGCACACCCATAGAAGTAGAATTACTAGAACGTACAAAACCCCTCACCCCACAGCAATTTGAATGGTACCAGAGAGGAAGAGGCGAAGCGAGAGGTTTTACTCTGTCCATGAAAATAAGCCCATGAAGTGAGGAATTGTTGTATGGAGATCAATGAGAGAGTGCTGAATTTGGTCAACAAAAAATTGAATTGCTAATTTGCTAAATCAGGCTTATTTGATCAAATATACGTTTTGTAATGGTTAGGTTGTTACGAATGCACTGATATAAGTGGATGCACGTGGCATTTTGGCAACATTGAAAAAGATGACTTTACAGTGAGGGAAAAAAGTATTTGATCCCCTGCTGATTTTGTATGTTTGCCCACTGATAAAGACATGATCAGTGTATAATTTTAATGGTAGGTTTATTTGAACAGTGAGATACAGAATAACAACAAAGCAACCCAGAAAGACGCATGTCAAAAATGTTATGAATTGATTTGCATTTTAATGAGGGAAATAAGTATTTGACCCCTCTGCAAAACATGACTTACTTGACTTGGTGGCAAAACCCTTGTTGGCAATCACAGAGGTCAGACGTTTCTTGTAGTTGGCCACCAGGTTTGCACACATCTCAGGAGGGATTTTGTCCCACTCCTCTTTGCAGATCTTTTCCAAGTCATTAAGGTTTCGAGGCTGATGTTTGATGTGGTGAAGTTGTCCTGTCCCCTTAGCAGAAAAACACCCCCAAAGCATAATGTTTCCACCTCCATGTTTGACGGTGGGGATGGTGTTCTTGGGGTCATAGGCAGCATTCCTCCTCCTTCAAACACGGCGAGTTGAGTTGATGCCAAAGAGCTCAATTTTAGTCTCATCTGACCACAACACTTTCACCCAGTTCTCCTCTGAATCATTCAGATGTTCATTGGCAAACTTCAGACGGGCCTGTATATGTGCTTTCTTGAGCAGGGGGACCTTGCGGGCGCTGCAGGATTTCAGTCCTTCACGGCGTAGTGTGTTACCAATTGTTTTCTTGGTGACTATGGTCCCAGCTGCCTTGAGATCATTGACAAGATCCCCCCGTGTAGTTCTGGGCTGATTCCTCACCGTTCTCATGATCATTACAACTCCATGAGGTGAGATCTTGCGTTGATCCCCAGGCCGAGGGAGATTGACAGTTATTTTGTGTTTCTTCCATTTGCGAATGGAACCAACTGTTGTCACCTTCTCACCAAGCTGCTTGGCAATGGTCTTGTAGCCCATTCCAGCCTTGTGTAGGTCTACAATCTTGTCCCTGACATCCTTGGAGAGCTCTTTGGTCTTGGCCATGGTGGAGAGTTTGGAATCTGATTGATTGATTGCTTCTGTGGACATGTGTCTTTTATACAGGTAACAAACTGAGATTAGGAGTACTCCCTTTAAGAGTGTGCTCCTAATCTCAGCTCGTTACCTGTATAAAAGACACCTGGGAGCCAGAAATCTTTCTGATTGAGAGGGGGTCAAATACTTATTTCCCTCATTAAAATGCAAATCAATTTATAACATTTTTGACATGCGTTTTTCTGGATTTTTTTGTTGTTATTCTGTCTCTCACTGTTCAAATAAACCTACCATTAAAATTATAGACTGATGATTTCTTTGTCAGTGGGCAAACGTACAAAATCAGCAGGGGATCAAATACTTTTTTCCCTCACTGTATATCAGAGTTGTGCCCGTTGTCATAGAGATAGATAGAGCACCCATCATGGATAAAACCCATTTTAGCATAGACATTGCCATTGAGGGCTTCCACCATTTTAAAGTAGTCAACTGGGTGTGGATTCCAATGAGTTGGGAGCAATCAGCCAATGATAAGAGCATGGCGTTTGCAACGCCAGGGTTGTGGGTTCGATTCCCACGGGGGGCCAGTATAAAAAAATATGTATTCACTAAATGTAAGTCGCTCTGGATAAGAGCGTCTGCTAAATGACTAAAATGTAATGTAAATGTAAGAAAATTGACTACTTTAAAATGGAGATAGCCTCAATGGTGCTGCCCATGCTTCCACAGACTCTATATTGGCACAGATACAAAGATGAGTCCTCTATCTCTATGGCCCGTTGTTCGCAAGTGTGTCTGCCCTCTCATTGGCTAGAATGGTCCCACCTGATCACTCCTCCTCCCGGCTGCCTTCCATCTTTGAGGGCATGCATTTCCATTGTTAGAGCGTTCACTCGAATATCTCGTCAGTATAATAGACAAGCTTTGGTGGTACACTCAGGAGTGTCCAACCTTCGTCCTTCCTGCAGGCTTTAGCTACATCCCTAATCTAACACATAACATGTGTTTATAAAACGTGCTGATCTAGGATCTAGGACCAGGGCATGTATTCAAAAAGCATCTCAGAATAGGAGTTCTGTTCTAGGAGCAGTTTTGCCTTTTAGATCATAATGAATAAGGTTTCATGGACAGGGGGGGACCAGATCCTACATCAGCAGTCCCACTCTGAGATGCTTTGTGAATACGGCCCAGGTCCCCCTGTCCATGTAATCTTATTCATTATTCATGATCTAAACAGCAAAACGAATACTAGATCAGCACTTTTGTCAATACGGGCCCTGATTTTACTAACCAGCTGCTCCCCAGAACCTTGATTAGCCGAATCAGTTGTGTTTGTGTTGGGCAGGAGCAAAAGCCTACATACATAGTAGCTCTCCAGGAGGAGGATTGGTCACCCCTGCCATAAATAAAATGCTAATGCATCGCTCATACATGTGTTATTTATGGGTTATTAATGTGCTATGTTGTCCCTATGTAGATACTATTCAAGTAAATGTTGCACAATTCAGTTAAACGTCATAGTATGATACCTACAGCCAGTACAGGACGTATGGACAGCAGCTGATCAGTCCCTCCTCCCCAATCCCTCCAGTCCAGGTACTCTCCCTCCTCTAGGACATGCTGGTGACCCTCAAACCCTGGCTGGTCATACCCCACCCAGCTAGGACAGCAGATAAAAGGGCATTAGGCAATGTCTACATTGTAAAGACTGTATATTATATCATATGTATGTTACTGTAACACAGTGATCCTAAACTCATGCTACTGGAGAGCTTCAGTACTTCAGGTTTTCCAGGGCAGCAGTGAAACAACTGACTCACGTTATCAAGGTGTTGAAGATCAGTTAGTTGAATCAGGTGGAATGGTTTGAACCTGGGACAAGTCTCCAGTACTGTGGCTCTCCAGGAGCAGGATTGAGGGTCACTGATGGTAACATTTTGTAACACTGTCTATTTGTTTATTGTGTATTGTCATATTGACCAGTAATAAGGTATTATATATATATTAACGTTTTGAGAGATATAGGGACTTTTTTGCACAGAGATATATAACTTACAGTCCTCCAAGGATCTTCACAGAGCCCACTGACTTCAGTCTGTTTGAATCCAGGTTCGATGCCTCTCCCTCTCCGTCTCCTCCATCTCCAAAACAGAACACGTCCCCATCGATCTCTAGACAGAATCCCTCGAAGCCAGGCTGCTCATACACCACAGCCTGAGGAGACCAAGGTCATAGGTAAGAGGGAGCAGTTCAGATGGTGGTCAACCCCTGATTGACCCCAAGGCCTAACAGTAATGATTAATGTTGTTGTTTTTCCATGTGTTTCCCTAATCAGACTTATGATACATGTTAGCCGACAACATGCTAAAATAGTACATTAATTAATATATGTACACTACCGTTCAAAAGTTTTGGGTCACTTAGAAATGTCCTTGTTTTCGAAAGAAAAGCAATTTCTTTGTCCATTAAAATAACATCAAATTGATCAGAAATACAGTGTAGACATTGTTAATGTTGTAAATGGCTATTGTAGCTGGAAACGGCTGATTTCTTATGGAATATCTACATAGGCGTACAGATGCCCATTATCAGCAACCATCAGTCCTGTGTTCCAATGGCACGTTGTGTTTGCTAATCCAAGTTGATCATTTTAAAAGGCTAATTGATCATTAGAAAACCCTTTTGCAATTATGTTAGCACAGCTGAAAACTGATAAAGAAGCAATAAAACTGGCTTTCTTGAGACTAGTTGAGTATCTGGAGCATCAGCAATTGTGGGTTCGATTATAGGCTCAAAATGGCCAGAAACAAATAACTTTCTTCTAAAACTCGTCAGTCTGTTCTTGTTCGGACAAATGAAGGCTATTCCTTAAGAGAAATTGCCAAGAAACTGAAGATCTCGTACAACGCTGTGCACTACTCCCTTCACAGAACAGTGCAAAATGGCTCTAACCAGAATAGAAAGAGGAGTGGGAGGCCCCGGTGCACAACTGAGCAAGAGGACAAATACATTAGAGTGTATAGTTTGAGAAACAGACGCCTCACAGGTCCTCAACTGGCAGCTTCATTAAATAGTACCTGCAAAACACCAGTCTCAACGTCAACAGTGAAGAGGCGACTCCGGGATGCTGACCTTCTAGGCAGATTTGCAAAGAAAAAGCCATATCTTAGACTGGCTAAGATTGGGAAAAAGTGTCATGGACAGACAAATCGAAGTTTGAGGTGTTTGGATGACAAAGAAGAACATTTGTGAGACGCATACCAAATGAAAAGATGCTGGAGGAGTGCTTGATGCCATCTGTCAAGCATGGTGGAGGCAATATGATTGTCTGGGGGTGCTTTGGTGGTGGTAAAGTGGGAGATTTGTACAGGGTAAAAGGGATCTTGAAGAAGGAAGGCTATCACTCCATTTTGCAACGCCATGCCATACCCTGTGGAGTTAATTTCCTCCTACAACAGGACAATGACCCAAAGCACAGCTCCAAACTATGCAATAACTATTTAGGGAAGAAGCAGTCAGCTGGTATTCTGTCTATAATGGAGTGGCCAGCACAGTCACCGGATCTCAACCCTTATTGAGTTGTTGTGGGAGCAGCTTGACCGTATGGTCAGATCGCAGTTGTAAATGAGAACTTGTTCTCAACTGGCTTACCTGGTTAAATAAAGGTGAAAAAAATAATAATAATAAAATGGTGCGTAAGAAGTGCCCATCAAGCCAATCAAACTTGTGGGAGGTGCTTCAGGAAGCATGGGGTGAAATCTCTTCAGATTACCTCAACAAATTGACAACTAGAATGCCAAAGGTCTGCAAGGGTGTAATTGCTGCAAATGTAGAATTCTTTGACGAAAGCAAAGTTTGAAGGACACAATTATTATTTCAATTAAAAATCATTATTTCTAACCTTGTCAATGACTACATTTCCTATTCATTTTGCTATATTTCCTATTCAAACTCATTTCATGTATGTTTTCATGGAAAACAAGGACATTTCTAAGTGACCCCAAACTTTTGAACGGTAGTGTACATATATACATATATATAGTACAAGTCAAAGTGTGCAAAGCTCTCATCAACACAAAGGGTGGCTATTTGAAGAATCTCAAATATAAAATATAGTTAGATTTGTTTCACACTTTTTTGGTAACTACATGATTCCGTATGTGTTATTTCATAGTTTTGATGTCTTCACTATTATTCTACAATGTAAAAAAGAGTAAGAATAAAGAAAAACCCTTGAATGAGTAGGTGTGTCCAAACTTTTGACTGGTAGTGTGTGTGTATATATATATATATACAGTGGGGAAAAAAGTATTTAGTCAGCCACCAATTGTGTAAGTTCTCCCACTTAAAAAGATGAGAGAGGCCTGTGATTTTCATCATAGGTACAGGTCAACAATGACAGACAAAATGAGAAAAAAAATTCCAGAAAATCACATTGTAGGATTTTTAATGAATATATTTGCAAATTATGGTGGAAAATAAGTATTTGGTCAATAACAAAAGTTTCTCAATACTTTGTTATATACCCTTTGTTGGCAATGACTGTCACGATCGTCTATAAAGGGAGCAGACCAATACGCAGCGCGTTGAGTGAACATGATGACTTTAATAAAGAAAGCACGTAACTACAAAACAAAAGACGATAGTGAAGTCCAACAGTGACAAAATACTGAACCTGGAACAAAAACCCACAATTCCCACAGGAAAACAATCAGATTAAATATGGCTCCCAATCAGAGATAACGAGCCGACAGCTGACACTCGTTACCTCCGATTGGGAGTCATTGACCAAACCTAGACATAAACCCCACAGAACTGCAAACATAGAAATACACCCAAAACCCAACATAACCAAACCAAAACCCAACAAAACAAATACACCCTGGCTCAAATATAAAAGTCCCGGAGCCAGAGTGTCACAGTACCCCCCCCTAAAGGTGCGAACTCCGGGCGCACCAGCATACAGTCTATGGGAGGGTCTGGGTGGGCGTCTGTCCACGGTGGCGGCTCTGGCCCTGGTCGTGGTCCCCACCCCACCTTAGTCACTATCCGCTTCCGTAGCCTCCTCCATATGACCACCCCCCAACTAAACCCCACTGGATTAAGGGGCGGCACCGGACTAACGGGCAGCACCGGACTAAGGGGCAGCACCGGACTAAGGGGCAGTACCGGACTAAGGGGCAGCACCAGGATAAGGGGCAGCACCGGGCTAAGGGACAGCACCGGACTCAATGGCGGATCCTGGCTGGCTGGCTCTGGCGGATCCTGGCTGGACGGCTCTGGCGGATCCTGGCTGGACGGCTCATGGCTGGCTGAAGGATCTGGCTGCTCATGGCTGGCTGACGGATCTGGCTGCTCATGGCTGGCCGACGGATCTGGCTGCTCATGGCTGGCCGACGGATCTGGCTGCTCATGGCTGGCCGACGGATCTGGCTGCTCATGGCTGGCCGACGGATCTGGCTGCTCATGGCTGGCCGACGGATCTGGCTGCTCATGGCTGGCTGACGGATCTGGCTGCTCATGGCTGGCCGACGGATCTGGCTGCTCATGGCTGGCCGACGGATCTGGCTGCTCATGGCTGGCCGACGGATCTGGCTGCTCATGGCTGGCTGAAGGCTCTGGCTGATCCTGTCTGGCGGAAGGCTCTGGCTGATCCTGTCTGGCGGAAGGCTCTGGCTGATCCTGTCTGGCGGAAGGCTCTGGCTGATCCTGTCTGGCGGAAGGCTCTGGCCGATCCTGTCTGGCGGAAGGCTCTGGCTGATCCTGTCTGGCGGAAGGCTCTGGCTGATCCTGTCTGGCGGAAGGCTCTGGCTGATCCTGTCTGGCGGAAGGCTTTAGCGGCTCCGGTCTGGCGGACGGCTCTGAAGGCTCATGGCAGACGGGCGGCTTATGCAGCGCTTGGCAGACGGACAGTTCAGACGGCGTTGGGCAGACGGGCAGTTCAAGCGCCGTTGGGCAGACGGGCAGTTCAGGCGCCGTTGGGCAGACGGGCAGTTCAAGCGCCGTTGGGCAGACGGGCAGTTCAGGCGCCGTTGGGCAGACGGGCAGTTCAGGCGCCGTTGGGCAGACGGCAGACTCTGGCCGGCCGAGACGCACTATAGGCCTGGTGCGTGGTGCCGGAACTCGTGGTCCCGGGCTGAGGACACGCATCTCAGGGCTAGTGCGGGGAGCAGCAACAGGGCGCACAGGACTCTGGGGACACACAGGAGGCTTGGTGCGTGGTGTAGGCACTGGTGGTACTGGGCTGGAGCGGGGAGGTGGCGCCGGAAATACCGGACCGTGCAGGCGTACTGGCTCCCTTGAGCACTGAGCCTGCCCAACCTTACCTGGTTGTATACTCCCCGTCGCCCGACCAGTACGGGAAGGAGGAATAACCCGCACCGGGCTATGTAGGCGAACCGGGGACACCATGCGTAAGGCTGGTGCCATGTAAGCCGGCCCGAGGAGACGCACTGGTGGCCTGATGCGTTGGGCCGGCTTCATGACATCCGGCTCAATGCTCAATCTAGCCCGGCCGATACGTGGAGCTGGAATGTACCGAACCGGGCTATGCCTGCGTACAGGAGACACCATGCGCTCTACTGCGTAACACGGTGTCTGCCCGTACTCTCGCTCTCCACGGTCAGTCCAGGGAGTAGGCGCAGGTCTCCTACCTGACTTCGCCACACTCCCTTTTAGCCCCCCCCCAAGAAATTTTTGGGTAGTACCCACGGGCTTCCAGCCTCGACTCCGTGCTGCCTCCTCATATCACCTCCTCTCGGCTTTAGCTGCCTCCAGCTCTTCACGAGGGCGGCGATATTCTCCCGGTTGTGCCCAAGGACCCTTTCCAGCCCGTATCTCCTCCCATGTCCATGAATCCTTTGGAGGCGTCCATAAATCCTGTGTAGGTAGGTCCTGTTGCCGCTTGACACGCTGCTTGGTCCTTTTACGGTGGGTTTTTCTGTCACGATCGTCTATAAAGGGAGCAGACCAATACGCAGCGCGTTGAGTGAACATGATGACTTTAATAAAGAAAGCATGTAACTACAAAACAAAAGACGATAGTGAAGTCCAACAGTGACAAAATACTGAACCTGGAACAAAAACCCACAATTCCCACAGGAAAACAATCAGATTAAATATGGCTCCCAATCAGAGATAACGAGCCGACAGCTGACACTCGTTACCTCCGATTGGGAGTCATTGACCAAACCTAGACATAAACCCCACAGAACTGCAAACATAGAAATACACCCAAAACCCAACATAACCAAACCAAAACCCAACAAAACAAATACACCCTGGCTCAAATATAAAAGTCCCGGAGCCAGAGTGTCACAATGACACAGGTCAAACGTTTTCTGTAAGTCTTCACAAGGTTTTCACACACTGTTGCTGGTATTTTGGCCCATTCCTCCATGCAGATCTCCTCTAGAGCAGTGATGTTTTGGGGCTGTCGCTGGGCAACACGGACTTTCAACTCCCTCCAAAGATTTTCTATGGGGTTGAGATCTGGAAACTGGCTAGGCCACTCCAGGACCTTGAAATGCTTCTTACGAAGCCACTCCTTCGTTGTCATGCTGAAAGACCCAGCCACGTTTCATCTTCAATGCCCTTGCTGATGGAAGGAGGTTTTCATTCAAAATCTCACGATACATGGCCCCATTCTTTCCTTTACACGGATCAGTCGTCCTGGTCCCTTTGCAGAAAAACAGCCCCAAAGCATGATGTTTCCACCCCCATGCTTCACAGTAGGTATGGTGTTCTTTGGATGCAACTCAGCATTCTTTGTCCTCCAAACACGACGAGTTGAGTGTTTACCAAAAAGTTCTATTTTGGTTTCATCTGACCATATGACATTCTCCCAATCCTCTTCTGGATCATCCAAATGCACTCTAGCAAACTTCAGACAGGCCTGGACATGTACTGGCTTAAGCAGGGGGACACGTCTGGCACTGCAGGATTTGAGTCCCTGGCAGCGTAGTGTATTACTGATGGTAGGCTTTGTTACTTTGGTCCCAGCTCTCTGCAGGTCATTCACTAGGTCCCCCCGTGTGGTTCTGGGATTTTTGCTCACCGTTCTTGTGATCATTTTGACCCCATGGGGTGAGATCTTGCGTGGAGCCCCAGATCGAGGGAGATTATCAGTGGTCTTGTATGTCTTCCATTTCCTAATAATTGCTCCCACAGTTGATTTCTTCAAACCAAGCTGCTTACCTATTGCAGATTCAGTCTTCCCAGCCTGGTGCAGGTCTACAATTTTGTTTATGGTGTCCTTTGACAGCTCTTTGGTCTTGGCCATAGTGGAGTTTGGAGTGTGACTGTTTGAGGTTGTGGACAGGTGTCTTTTATACTGATAACAAGTTCAAACAGGTGCCATTAATACAGGTAACGAGTGGAGGACAGAGGAGCCTCTTAAAGAAGAAGTTACAGGTCTGTGAGAACCAGAAATCTTTCTTGTTTGTAGGTGACCAAATACTTATTTTCCACCATAATTAGCAAATACATTCATTAAAAATCCTACAATGTGATTTTCTGGATTTTTCTTCTTCTCAATTTGTCTGTCATAGTTGACGTGTACCTATGATGAAAATTACAGGCCTCTCTCATCTTTTTAAGTGGGTGAACTTGCACAATTGGTGGCTGACTAAATACTTTTTTCCCCACTGTATATATATATATATATATATATATATATATATATATATATATATATATATATATATATATATATATATATATATATATATATATATAGTGGGGTCAGAAATTATTGACACCCTTGAAAAAGATGAGCTATATTGTATGCTAAAATTAAAAAATATCTATTAATATTTTGCTTAGAGAAGGAGATTTTGTTTTTCAATTAACATTAATTTTCCTCAAAAAGGTAGGGGTCAAAATGATTGACACCCCTGTTTTCAATACCTTTCAATACCTCACCTTGCGAGGATAACGGCACTGAGCATTTTTCTAAATTGTTTTATGAGTTGGAGAACACATTGTTAGGGATCTTAGACCAGTCCTCCATACAGAATCATTCCAGAGCATTGATATCCTTCTTCTGTGCTTATGGACTGCCCTCTTCAATTCAAAGCTTTTCTACGGGTTTCAAGTCTGGAGACTGAGATGGCCATTGCAAAAGGTTGATTTTGTGGATAATTAACAATTTCTTGGTGGATATTATGTGTGCTTGGGGTTATTGTCTTGCTGGAAGATTCACCAACGTCCAAGTTTCAGCCTCCTGGCAGAGGCAACCAGGTTTTTGGTTAAAATGTCCTGGTACTGGGTAAAGTTCATGATTCCGTTGACCTTAACGAGGGCCCCAGAACCAGTGGATGCAAAATATCCCCACAACATCAAAGATCCATCACCATATTTTATAGTATGTATGGGCATATTTTCTGCTCATGCATTATCATTTTGATGCCAAACCCACCGCTGGTGTGTGTGGCCAAAGAGCTATATTTTCATGTCATCTGACCAAAGCTAAATAAAGCTCTTTGGCCACACACACCAGTGGTGAGTTTGGTGTCGAAATGAGAATGCATAAGCAGAAGAAAAAAAACATACCTCCTGTAAAATATGGTGGTGGATCTTTGATGTTATGATGCTATTTTGCTTCCACCGGTCCTGGGGCAATGGCATCATGAAATGTATCCAGTACCAGGACATTTTAGCCGAAAACCTGGTTGCCTCTGGCAGGAGGCTGAAACTTTCCGCATGTGGATCTTCCATCAAGACAATAACCCCGAGCACACATCAACAGGGGTGTCAATAATTTGTACCCCTACCTTTTTTGAGAAAAATAAAAATGTGACTTGTTTAACAAAATCTCTTCTTTACAAGGGTGTCAATCATTTAGGACCACACTGTATACAGTGCATTCGGAAAGTATTCAGACCCCTTCACCTTTTCCACATTTTCTTACGTGCCTTATTCTAGAACTGATGAAATTGTTTTTTTAATGACAAAGCAAAAACAGGTTTTTGTAAATTTTTGTAATAAAAATAAAATAAAATAACGGAAATATCACATTTACATAAGTATTCAGACCCTTTACTCAGGACTTTGTTGAAGCACCTTTGGCAGCGATTACAGCCTCAATTCTTCTTGGGTATGACGCTACAAGCTTGGCACACCTGTATTTGGGGAGTTTCTCCCATTCTTCTCTGCAGATCCTCTCAAGCTCTGTCAGGTTGGATGGGGAGCATTGCTACACAGCTATTTTCAGGTCTCTCCAGAGATGTTAGATCGGGTTGAAGTCCGGGCTCTGGTTGGGCCACTCAAGTACATTCAGAGACTTATACCGAAGCCACTTCTGTGTTGTCTTGGCTGTGTTCTTAGGTCATTGTCCTGTTGGAAGGTGAACCTTTGCCCCAGTCTGAGGTCCTGAGCGCTCTGGAGAAGGTTTTCATCAAGGATCTCTCTGTACTTTGCTCCGTTCATCTTTCCCTCGATCCTGACTAGTCTCCTAGTCCCTGCCACTGAAAAACATCCCCACAGCATGATGCTGTCACCACCATGCTTCACCGTAGGGACGGTGCAAGGTTTCCTCCAGACGTGACGCTTGGCATCCAGGCAAAAGAGTTCAATCTTGGTTTCATCAGACCAGATAATCTTGTTTCTCATGGTCTGAGAGTCCTTTAGGTGCCTTTTGGCAAACTCCAAGCGGGCTGTTATGTGCCTTTTACTGAGGAGTGGCTTCTGTCTGGCCACTCTACCATAAAGGCCTGATTGGTGGAGCGCTGCAGAGATGGTCGCCCATCTCCACAGAGGAACTCTGGAGCTCTGTCAGAGTGACCATCGGGTTCTTGGTCACCTCCCTGACCAAGGCCCTTCTCCCCTGATTGCTCAGTTTGGCTGGGCGGCCAGCTCTAGGTGGTTCCAAATTTCTTCCATTTAAGAATGATGGAGGCCACTGTGTTCTTGGGGACCTTCAATGCTGCAAAATAATTTTGGTACCCTTCCCCAGATATGTGCCTCGACACAATCCTGTCTCGGAGCTCTACGGACAATTCCTTCGACCTCATGGCTTGGTGTTTGCTCTGACATGCACTGTCAACAGACAGGTGTGTGCCTTTCCAAATCATGTTCAATCAATTGAATTTACCACATATGGACTCCAATCAAGTTGAGGAAACATCTCAAGGATGATAAATGGAAACAGGATGCATCTGAGCTCAATTTCGAGTCTCATTGGAAAAGGTCTGAATACTTATGTAAATAAGGTATTTCTGTTTTCTTTTTTATAAATGTGCAAAAAAGTCTAACAACCTGTTTTCGCATTGTCATTATGGGGTATTGTTTGTAGATTGATGAGGATTTTTTTTATTTAATCCATTTTAGAATAAGGCCGTAACGTAACAAAATGTGGAAAAAGGGAAAGGGTCTGAATACTTTCCAAATGCACTGTATACTTTTTCTTAAAATATGAAAAAGTATATACTCTCTGGAAGCATGTTCCTCAGCTGTGCAATAAACAATCATTATCCTGTTTTCGCTTTGTCATTATGTGGTATTGTGTGTAGATTGATGAGGATTTTTATTTATTTAATACATTTTAGAAATAGGGAAGGGGTCTGAATACTTTCCAAATGCACATGTAAACCAGACCTAGGTTCAAATAGCATATGTTTTCCTTCAAATACTTTAATCGTTTGACTGAGCCTGCCTGGTGTGCCAGAAGGGTTTGTCCTTTTGGGACTATTCTATTAACTCCATTGTACCAGGCAAGGTCAATAATTTGCAGCTAAAGTATTTAAAAGAAAACAAATACTATTTGAACCCAGGTCTGAAGTGAACCACCCAAGACTGCCCTAACCCTAGAAAACTGATGTACCTTGACTTCATTAGGATTCTCCACCTTAAAGCCACCCTGCAACACACAGAGAGAATATTTCACAACCACACTATGTTCCACTAATTAAAAGCACACAGTGTCAAGATGGAAGTCAGCAGTATGCAAATTATGCAATTTCCACACATATCATAATGAACTGCGACACTGCTGGAGACAGATACCGAGAGAAGGAGAGATAGTGAGATACTGCATCGCCAGAGACTGGAAATGCCTCAATTCATTTGAATGAGTGCATTCTGCCTGAGAATAATTAGTAATTTGGTACGACAGTGATTCATCCTTTGTATGTACTGTTCCTCTGCCTTGGGCCAGATTTGCTCAATGTTTGTACCTGTGTTTGAAAAGGGAATTCAACATTGAGAACAGAACAAAAAGGTAAAAGAAAAGGTTTAGGAGAAAGATAAAAACGTAAAGGTTCATTGTAAATCAACACAAGCTGTGTCTGTTGCTCATTGTCCTTCCTTCTTCCATGTATTTTATGGAAATTAAGTTTAATCCATGTATTTCATGCACAGTAATACAGTTGTTTGAGATGCTGCAGCACCCACCATTTTGAGAGGTCTGAGGGATCCGATGAAGGGTGTGGGGAACCCCCAGGCCTCGGGACAGGGGTACTCTCCCTTCTCCAACACCGCAAGGAGGCCCTGGAACCCTGGGTCACTGAACATTAACCACCTGTGTTGGGGAGGGACAGGAATCACTCACCATTATGTACATACTAATGGGTCATGTATCTGTTCTTCTAACCAGGGCTGGAGTACCTCCCTTTCCAATTCAGAAAACTCAGCAGCGATCTTATCTCAGAAACCCAGAACTAAAGTCTTGCATAATTGCGTCAGATTCTCCATTAAGTTCTGGGGGAGATACTAACAAGAGTAGAGAAGTCTCCACCCTCCAAAATTGGCGCTCCGGGAACAAAGTTCCTTGTTAGTCGGCACATCCCACAGTCTGTTGACAGATGCTACAATATTACTCTATGTTACATGCGTCTGACCACAAGAGACTAGCAGCGGGCCAATCCAGACTTGAGATCTGCTCGCTTACATCAATGAATAATTTTTGTGAATGTCCAAGTTGTCTTAACTTTGAATCGGTCTGCAGGTTAACTGAGATTAGATTTAAATAATGGCCAATTTTGAAATCATGGATTTATTTTCAATTTATCGCCTGAATTTACTAATCTGAAATGCTATGTTATTGATGCCAATCCTGGTTCTTCTTATGTATGTGTACCACACATAAAACATCAGTGATATATTTACAGCTAAACTCTATTCTCTATCCAATGGTTTGAAAGCTTATTTTCCCCCCATACTGCACGATGCCAACTAACCCTGAGTGACGCTAAGGAAAGAAATACTGTACATGTGCTACCCAGACATTCCATGTATGAGTCAGACAAGGCACCACAGCAGGAGTTGCTAAGACAACACAGGCCAAAGTAAACCAGCCATTAGTAGCAGTTCGACGACGTAAGGGGAAATGGTCTATTGCGGTCTACGTCTGCTAGGAGCCGGGTCACACAATGTCCTGAAACGTGCCTCCTACGTGGAATAACAAACCTTTAAAATCTTTCCCAGATTCTCTATTAAAAAAAAAAAAATCTCTCTCTACCTCAGTCTTTGTCTCCCCACTTTTACCAGTTTCTTCCCATCATGTTGTTTTCATTTGTCAAACTGAGGAGGTTTACAACTACAGCCAAGCAGCACACTAAACAAACTAAAGAGGTACCATAGACATTTGGAGGTACCATTTAGGAGGAGGACCACAGACACTGACCACCCACAGTGGATCAAAGAGGTACCATTTTCATTTAAAGATGTAGCATTTAGGAGAAGCACCCTAAAGTGGACTGAAGAGGTACCATAGGCATTTCGCGGCAACATGTAAATAAAACAACCATATACAGGCTTACACCCCAGAGTGGACTTTGATGGAAGCTGTGTTCTGTGGGATACCGAAGGAGCCGATCTCTACTGTTTCGTCATGGTATTGTGCTAGCCTTCCGTGGCCCTCTGGCTCAGTGAACAGGTCAATATGGGGGATGCTGTAGTCCTACAGAGGGGAACACAGACCCAGGAACAGTCACTTCACTGTGGAGGGAGAATTATGACTGATTTCATTGTGATAACACTTTATTTAAAGCTGACAGGCATAATGCTTTATAACTTGTTATAAGCATGTTTTAGCTTTTATTATGTCTTAATATAAGGTTTATAATATGTTATGTCTCTCTATGTAGGAAATGTTATAGCAAGGAGTGGACACTCACCCATACTGCCAGTCGGATGGAGCCGATGACAATTGGTGGGTCGACGTGGGGGTGTGAACCTGGTGGCCCTGCATCTGCCCAGACATTTGTCAGCTCAATAGGCCCCTCCTCTAGAGCAATCGAACGCCCCTCGAACCCAGGCCTCTCGTAAAGCACCCAGCTGCAACGAGAAATAGTAACAGGTAAACAAACATAAAACATGAATCTTGGAAATAGACTAATTGGGACAATATGATGAATAAATGATATATGTCTCAGTTTCTTTTAATTTAACTTTCTCTGGACTTTGGACTAGTTTATTGTTTGTGCGTGTCCCACTAGCATGTCGGTCAGTAACTTTAACCTAGGGTTAGGGTTGATTCATAAAAATGAACTCATATGACTGATAAACAGCCAATAAAATTGTTATCATGTTCATGCATTTTATTTCCTGGCATAAGTCATCAGATGGGATGGTATTTGAACCCATCTAATGACTCAGCTAGGCATTACAGATATTCTCTGCTAAGTACGAGGCTGCAAGTTATCTAATATGCTGTCTTCAGATGCCAGACAGAGCATAAAAAGCAGTGTGTGTTTTTGGCAAACTGGCTATTCCTATTCCAAACCTTGATTGAAATTAGAAAACAGAACATTTTCTCAGTAGGGAATATGAGCCAGTTCAGGCTCTGTGACTCACCATCCTCTCACCACCTTCACAGAAATCATAGGACACAGTTGGAGCTGGGTGGCATCGACCACGTCTCTGAAGACTTCATAGGTCTGGCCGCTAAACTGGGCATTCTCAAACAACACCATCTAAATCATAGGAACAGTGAGGCCATTTTGTAATTTCAAAACATCAAGAGAAAAATAAGCTCTGAGAAACTCTGACGAAGGCTGGGAGACCGTAAGCTCAATAAACTAAAGTGATACTGACAAGGTGCAGTGTGTGTGTTTTTATTTTCTTGAAGAATACATCAAGAGAAAAGGAAATGCTCGAACAACACCATCTAACATGAGAAAACCATGTGTCATTTCAAAGCATCAAGAGAAAAAGAAAAATGCTGTCGCTGCCTCGTTTTCAAACGTGTTGATTTGATCTATTTTTGAAGAAGCAAACTTCCATGATCCTACTACCAACACGAACTGTCTTCAAAACATCAAGAGAAGGAAGTACATTAATTCTCACTCTCTGAATCAGATGTTGATATTCCATCACATCGTATGACTCAGTGGGTGACTCATTATATTACTAAGTTGGTGGAGCTATCATGAGAGTTTGTTTGAATGTTTCATTCCATTCACTTCTAATTCTAGTCTTCAAGTATTATATAACCTCACAAAATACCAAGAGAGAGGTTGCCTCCCAAATGGGAACACTATTCCCTTTATAGTGCACTACTTTTGACCAGGGCCAATAGGGATTCCACAATGCACAGAGCTCTTGCCAGTACAGAATAGCTTGTTCTTAAACATATCCAGCTGTAGATTTGTATAGATCCTTTCGCTCACAACCCCGTTTGCCCTCGATACCAAGCCATACGAAGTAGATGTCTTCGACAACACAATGGCAACATCCCAAAAGGAACCCTATTCTCTACAGCCCTATGGGCCACGGTCAAAAGTAGTGCACTACATAGGGATTAAGGTGTAATTTGGGACACAGACATTAGCTTCTTCTTCCATCCAGCTCATTCTTTCAATTCTGTCTTCAGTCTTTCAAAATATTTGTGTGAAGCTGTGCCTACCTTTCCTGGGCGTCTGTGGAATCCGATTATAGCCTCTCTCTGAAACACAAAAGCCACATGAATACTGTAATATCAAATCAAATGTTATTTGTCACATGCTTCTTAAACAACAGGTGTAGACTAATTGTGAAATGCTTCCTTACCGGCCCTTCCCAACAATGCAGGGAGAAAAATATAAAAATAATAGAAAGATAATAACACAAGGAATAAATACATAATGAGTAACAATACCGTGGCTATATAATAATAATAATATGCCATTTAGCAGACGCTTTTATCCAAAGTGACTTACAGTCATGTGCGCATACATTTTTACGTATGGGTGGTCCCTGGGATCGAACCCACTACCCTGGTGTTAAAAGCGCAATGCTCTACCAATTGAGCTACAGAGGACCACATATACATGGGGTACCAGTACTGAGTCGATGTGCAGAGGTATGAGGTAATTTGAGGTAGATATGTACAGTTGAAGTCTGAAGTTTACATACACCTTAGCCAAATACATTTAAACTCAGTTTTTCACAATTCCTGACATTTAATCCTAGTAATAATTACCTGTCTTAGGTCAGTTAGGATCACCACTTTATTTGAAATATCAGCATAATAGTAGAGAGGATGATTTATTTCAGCTTTCATCACATTCCCAGTGGGTCAGAAGTTTACATACACTCAATTAGTATTTGGTAGCATTGCCTTTAAATTGTTTAACTTGGGTCAAACATTTCGGGTAGCCTTCTACAAGCTTCCCACAATAAGTTGGGTGGATTTTGGCCCATTCCTCCTGACAGAGCTGGTGTAACTGAGTCAGGTTTGTAGGCCTCCTTGCTCGCAAACGCTTTTTCAGTTCTGCCCACACATTTTCTATAGGATTGAGGTCAAGGCTTTGTGATGGCCACTCCAATACCTTGACTTTGTTGTCCTTAAGCCATTTTGCCACAACTTTGGAAGTATGCTTGGGGTCATTGTCCATTTGGAAGACCCATTTGCGACCAAGCTTTAACTTCCTGACTGATGTCTTGAGATGTTGCTTCAATATAGCCACATCATTTTCCTTCCTCATGATGCCATCTATTTTGTGAAGTGCACCAGTCCCTCCTGCAGCAAAGCACCCCCACAGCATGATGCTGCCACCCCCATGCTTCACGGTTGGGATGGTGTTCTTCGGCTTGCAAGCGACCCCCTTTTTCCTCCGAACATAACGATGGTCATTATGGCCAAACAGTTCTATTTTTGTTTAATCAGACCAGAGGACATTTCTCCAAAAAGTACGATCTTTGTCCCCATGTGCAGTTTCAAACCGTAGTCTGGCTTTTTTATGGCGGTTTTGGAGCAGTGGCTTCTTCCTTGCTGAGCGGCTTTTCAGGTCATGTCGATATAGGACTTGTTTTACTGTGGATATAGATACTTTTGTACCTGTTTCCCCCAGCATCTTCACAAGGTCCTTTGCTGTTGTTCTGGGATTGATTTGCACTTTTCGCACCAAAGTACGTTCATCTCTAAGAGACAGAACGCATCTCCTTCCTGAGTGGTATAACGGCTGCGTGGTCCCATGGTGTTTATACTTCCGTACTATTGTTTGTACAGATGAACGTGGTACCTTCAGGCGTTTGGAAATTGCTCCCAAGGATGAACCAGTCTGCAATTTTTTTCTGAGGTCTTGGCTGATTTCTTTTGATTTTCCCATGATGTCAAGCAAAGAGGCACTGAGTTGGAAGGTAGGCCTTGAAATACATCCACAGGTACACCTCCAATTGACTCAAATGATGTCAAATAGCCTATCAGAAGCTTCTAAAGCCATGACATCCTTTTCTGGAATTTTCCAAGCTATTTAAAGGCACAGTCAACTTAGTGTATATAAACTTCTGACCCACTGGAATTGTGATGCAGTGAATTATAAGTGAAATAATCTGTCTGAAAAAATGACTTGTGTCATGCACAAAGTAGATGTCCTAACCGACTTGCCAAAACTGTAGTTTGTTAACAAGAAATTTGTGGAGTGGTTGAAAAACGAGTTTTAATGACTCCAACCTAAGTGTGTGTAAACTTCCAACTTCAACTGTACATATGGGTAGGGGTAAAGTCACTAAGCAACAGGATAGATAATAAACAGTAGCAGCAGTGTATGTGATGAGTCAAAACAGTTAGTCCAAAGGGGGGGATGGGGGTGCTTGGGGGTAGAAGCTGTTCAGGGTCCTGTTGGTTCCAGACTTGGTGCATCGGTACCTCTTGGCGTGCAGTGGTTGGAGTCTTTGTCAATGTTTAGGGCCTTCATCTGACACGGCCTGGTATAGAGAGGTCCTGGATAGCAGGGAGCTTGGCCCCAGTGATGCAATGGGCCATATGTACTACCCTCTGTAGCGCCTTGCAGTCGGATGCCAAGCAATTGCCATTTGCAAGTGATGCAGCCAGTCAAGATGCTCTCAGTGGTGCAGCTGTATAACTTTTTGAGGATCTGAGGACCCATGCCAAATAGTTTCAGCCTCCTGAAGGGAAGGAGGTGTTGTCGTACCTTCTTGATGACTGTGTTGGTGTGTGTGGACCAAGGCAATTCCTTAGTGATGTGGACACCGAGGAACTTGATGCTCTCGACCCGCTCCACTACAGCCCCGTCGATGTGGATGGGGCGTCCTCGGCCCTCAGTTTCCTGTAGTCCACAATCAGCTCCTTTGTCTTGCTGACGTTGAGGGAAAGGTTGATGTCCTGGCACCACACTGCCAGGTCACTGACCTCCTCCCTATGGGCTGTTTCATCACCTCCTCCCTATGGGCTGTTTTACCACCGTCGTCAGCAAACTTAATGATGGTGTTGGAGTCATGCAGTCGTGGGTGAACAGGGATTACAGGAGGGGACTAAGCACGCACACCCCCGCCAGGAAGTTCAGGATCCAGTTGCAGAGGGAAGTGTTCAGTCCCAGGGTCCTGATCTTAGTGTTGAGCTTGGAGGGCACTATGGTGTTGAACGCTAAACTGTAGTCAATGAGATCACACAGTCATCCGGAACAGCTGGTGCTCTCATGCATGGTTCAGTGTTGCTCGAAGCGAGCAGAGAAGGCATTTAGCTGATAAGCTCGCATCACTGGGCATCTAGCGGCTGGGTTTCCCTTTGTAATCCGTGATTGTTTGCAACCCCTGCCACATCCGACAAGCGTCAGTAAGATTCGATCTTAGTCCTTTATTGACACTTTGCTTGTTTGATGGGTCATCAGAGTTCTTAGCGGGATTTATAAGCTTCGGGATTAGTGTCCCGCTCCTTGAAAGCGTCAGCTCTAGCCTTTAGCGCAGTGCGGATGTTGCCTGTAACCCATGGGTTCTGGTGGGGGTATGTACGTATGGTCACTGTGGGGATGACATCATCAATGCTAACAAAACAGTCCTGTGACATGTTCTCCAGATTGTTATCTTCAGTGTCATAAAATCCAGATTCAAGAGCTGCTTGTCAGTGTTTGTTTTAATGATCTAAACTTGTTTGTGAGCCAGGCGTTTCTAACTCACGGTTAGAATTTGGTTTGTTTCATTTACATGTTTAAGATAATTAATTTAACTGTTTTATATAACACACACCCCCACACACTATACTCACCCCCCCCCCCCACACCCCCACCACACAAATACACACATGTGTACCCCCTCTACCCACCTCCACCCCGCACACACACCCCTCCCACACACACTCACATGGTCAGCACAAGTCCCTATTGGGCCAGCCAGAGGGGGCTGGACCTCGGGTAGTGAGGATGGAGGAACCAGAGAAAGACTCATAGGTCTTCCATCCAGCGTTATTAGTCCAGGCCTGATATTCAAGCCTCCACCACCACTTCCTCCAAGTGGCTTCATCCCTCCCTGTTATAACCCAAAAAATAACAATTAAAAACCCATCAGATAAAGGTCAATATATAAGGCAGTTAGATAGGCTTCTCTGTAAAAAACCTACTGAAATACAAAAAAACGGACTGAAATAGGGTAACCTGTTTAAACACGGAACAGAACATCTACGTTCTGTGAGAATGTCCTCTGATCAACGGGCAATGCATACATTATGATTCTTATCATTGTCCAATAACTTTGCTGCTTGTTAGCACTTGTGAGATTAACTTGTATGGTACTGTACATACAGTACTGCTTGCATTTCACACCATGCAAACAAGGTTGATCTCTCACTCTATAGCTTTTGAACATCTCAATGTCAGTTTTTCCCCAAAGAATCTCCACAAGTAGCCCCAGCCGTTCCACTTATTTGGTCTATGCCAGTACTCACACATCTGTAAGGTTAAGCATCCGAAGAGAGGTTTGGGAACAACTGCAATTGAGATGTTTAAAAGCTTTAGATTAAACATGTGGTGTATGATGCAAGCACTACTCAATAGAATTGAGAGTTGTGTAGAAAACTGACCTCAGAGTTGAGCGATTCCTGCCCTATGCTCATCTCTAATCTTGCAGCAGGCTCCCGGGGAGAAAGGTACTTCTCTAAATAATCCGGCAGCTTGATGTCATTAAAGGAGGGGAGTGGAGAAAAGGAGGGGAGAGGAGGACCTGAATCACTGACCACAGCAGCATGGGTAGTGGGTCTGTTCCCCAGGTTAGGAGGACTCTGGATGGTAGCCTCCCCAGAGGAAGTGGGGGTAGTCTGGGGTGGCTTAGTGACTGGTGAAAGGCTGGGTTGGAGGTGAGGGGCCTCTGTGGGCGACATCTCCCCACCTGGAGTGATGTCCTTCTGGGGTTGGGCTCCGGGCCTCTTGCCCCGGGTGGAGGAGCTGATCAGGGTACTGAGAATACAGCTCCCCTCCAAGCGTGACATAAGAGGTTTCACCACCTTCCCCTGCTCCTCTTTCTTCTCCTCCTCCTCGCCCTCTGCCATGGTGGTCTTCTCCCTCTCCAAGAGGAGCCTGGAATGGGTGTCAAGGCTCTTGAGCATGATGCTGGCCCTGGCCGGCTTTAGCTCCCCTTTGACCTCACTTCTCTGGAGACTAGCCAGAAGACTCTGGCTCGTCTCCACACAGAACTCCCTCTTCCTCCTCAGGCTGAACTGGAACTCGTCAGGGTCAAAGGGCTTCTCAAAGCGGTCCTCCCGTATGGCTGGCATAGTGAAGGGTGGCTTGGGATGATGGTGGTGGTGGTTCTTCCGTGGTGGCAACGAGAAAGGCACACCAAGGCGTTTGATGTTTTCGATGAAGTCGTCGTAGTCCAGTTCTCCGGAATTGTCCAAGAGGTCGCTCTCGCTGACCGACGAGCTGAGCTTGGGTTCGGGGGGGCGGAGGAGCTTCGGCTTGGGGAAGCGATGGTCCACATCTAGCCAGCTGGAAGGTGTGTCCCGTTGGGGGGACAAGCCACCGCCACCGCCTCCCAGTAAGGCAAGCTTATTCAGGGATGGATGCTGGGGATAGACTAGGCTCTGTTTAGTGGTTTCAGTAGAAGAGGGTATCTTCTGAGCTTTGTCTGGACTGGGGGGAAAGGTTGCTTTCTCAGTGGCTGTCTGGGGCTGTGTTACCGGGCGGATCTCATCATTCACAACAGGAGGAGGCTTTGTTACCACAATTTCTGGCTTGTCACCAGCTGACCTTTCTACCACAGTAGTAGTAGTAGATGACTTTTGCTGTGGTGCCTCCCCTATACCCTCTGCCAACTTTCCATAGGGCAATGTCACTGTATTTTCTCTGTCCTCACTCTGTGATTGGCTTGGCAGAGCTTTCCTCTCCTTCACATCCTCAGATTTTTTTACCTCTGGGGCTATAGTCTTTACAGTGGAGCTCTCCTTCCCAACATCCAGCCCTAGACCCTCACTGCTCTTTGTGTTTGGTGCCGGTAAAGGCCTCTTCACTTGGACCAGAGGTTCTTTCTCCCTCTGACCCCTTGTCTGTCCTGAGGCTTTGGTGTCCGAAAACTTCTGGGTAGAACCCAATGAAGGTTTTGAAGCATTGGTTTCTGCTTTTACAGTGGGGTCCTTCCCTGCTACTGGCACTGTAATACTAGGCTTCGAGGGGGTCAGTTCTGGGGTAAGGCTCACTCCGTGTGTCGGTGTGTCATTGCTAGGTTTATCTGTTTTAGCCTCAGATGACTTTACGGACTGTGGTTGCTTTGAGGCCTTGGTTTGCTGCTTTTTTAATACAGGGTCCTGATGGTTAGATTTAGTTTTCTGCTCAGGCACATGTGTAGATGACCCTTCCTTAGGAGGCTCGACTACACATTTATCATTGTCTTTTCCCTTTGCTGACTTATCAATTTGGGTGACTACACTACCGACAGTTTTATCTGACTGAAAAGAGGTCTGGCTGACGGGCTGTGTGGGAGCCTGTAGTGAGGCTGGAGGTTTAATAGGAGTTACAGAGGGTTGGACAGCTGGATCTGTCTGTTTCAACACTGATTTGGATGTGACTAGCTCTGTAATGAGCTTTGTGTCCTCTTTGCTCTTAACATTGCTAGCGGCTGTCTCCGGGGTGTCATGTCTAGTGCCTGAAGGCAAATCTGTCTTTGTATCTGTCTTTTTATTAAGCTGCTTTGCCATTTCTGCTGCTTTCTTTTCAGGCTGCTTTGGTTTGTTGTCGACTTGAGTGTGTGGGACAGGTGAGCCTTGCTCCACAGGAGTGGGGTATGGAACAGGAGGCTGTTCTTTCTTAGGCAAATGTGAGGGCAGAGAGGTTTTGTTATTTTCCTTGGGAACATTTTGATTTGTCTTAACCGTAGAGGTCTCCCCAGAGCTTCCCCCCTCTGCCTTCTCTCCCTTAGAACTCTGTGAGGGTAGAATGTCTACAGTTTTAATATTGGGCTCTTTTCTTACACTGATAGGATCAGAGGTAGCCATTTTATTGTCTTTGTTGACATTTGGAGGTGTGAGTGATTCTGTCTTTTCCTTTAACAGTTTGTTAGAATCGCCTTTTTCAACTGACAATGACACTATCAACTCGTTTGAGGTCGCTGGCTTTTTACTGACTGCTTGATGGCTGTTTTCTCTAACTGACTCTTTTTTTAAATCTAATTTAACATCTACAGATTGACTAGATTGTGGCGATGTGACTATCTTCACTTCCTGCTCAGATGCAGCAGACATTTTATTTTTTGTGCCTGTCTCTTCTTGTTTACCTTCAGTTTTACTGTCTGTTTGCTGGCTGTTTTGACTGACAGATTGTTTTTCAACATCTGACTTAACACCTACAGATTGTCTAGATTGTGGCGATGTGACTGTCTTAATTTCCTGCTCAGAGGCAGTGGACATTTTCTTTGTGGTGCCTGCCTCTTCCTGTTTGCTGTTGACCACTTCCTGTTCAGTGTTTGACACTTCCTGTTTGATGTCGATGCTCGGCCTCAGGGGATTGGCTGCCTCCCCTCCTTTGCTTTTCTGTCTCTTGGACCTGGAGTTTTGTTTGCTGTGGACTTTGGGCTGGAGGCTGACGTTATTGGTTGAGTCCACCTGAGGGGTCAGCTGGCTTAAATAATTTAGTTCAATATTGGTAGGTCTGTTTAGTAGCGCCACTGTTTTAGTAGCCTCTTTGTCCTTTGGTTTAGAGTCTGTCTGATCTGCTTTAGGAACTGGTATGACGGATACTGTGGTGGTATCTGGCTCTGCTGGTTTTGATGTTATCTCTTTCTTCGGGGAGGTCCGATTAGGAGTCTTTTCTGCGCTGGCCAGTTTTCCCTGAATGTCCTGTTTAGTTGTCTTTGACACAGCATAAGTGGGAGAAGCGGTAGCATTTTGGGACATTCCAGCCATACCAGAGGACTTGTGAGTCAGCTTTGTTTTATCCTCAATGTTTTGAGCCTCTGCAAAATTCCTTGCCCACTCCTGGACCGTCGTTAATTTCTCCGGAACAGGGGGGGTCGAGCTGGAACTGGCGTTGCCACGTTCCACCAATTTCGCCCGCTGATCTGGCAACCCGAGCTCTTTGTTTACATCTGTTCTTGGCCGCTCTATGACGTCTGCACTTCTGGGGTTGGACTTACTGGGACTGGCAACCCCTGTCGCTCTTCCCTCGAACAGGCTGATCCTATCTGCGATCCGCACGATAGGCTGAGTGGTCTTGGGTTCCTCGTCCACTTTCTTCAGATCAGGTGGTCTGTGAACAATGAAAACAAAGAAGCATGTTGGAATATATTTTCAATGTGAACGCAAACCTTGATATTCAATGTATCTAGCTGTAAATGCACTGTATTTGCTTTATTTCACACACAACAGTAACAATATCTCAATGGATTTAGTGTTTTGACAATACTTTAATCTTGTACATCAGCTAAATGGAGATTGGAGTTAAAATGGCAACAAACGTAGGAGGTATTTTGATTTACAGATAGTTTTCCCTTTACAGATACAGTGGCTTGCAAAAGTAATCACCCCCCTTGGCATTTTTCCTATTTTGTTGCCTTACAACCTGGATTTGAAAAACAAAATTGGGGGGTTTGTATCATTTGATTTACACAATATACATACCTCTTTGAAGATGCAAAATATTTTTTATTGTGAAACAAACAATAAATAAGACAAGAAAACAGAAAACTTGAGTGTGCATAACAATTCACCCCCCCGAAGTCAATATTTTGTAGAGCCAATTTTTGCAGCAATTACAGCTGGTCCAAACACACCAAGACAGTCATGAAGAGGGCACGACAAAGCATATTCCCCATCAGGAGACTGAAAATATTTGGCATGGGTCCTCAAAAGGTTATACAGCTGCACCATCGAGAGCATCCTGACTGGTTTCATCACCGCCTGGTATGGCAACTGCTCGGCCTCCGACCGCAAGGCACTACAGAGGGTAGTGCGTACGGCCCAGTACATCACTGGGGCCAAGCTTCCTGCCATCCAGGACCTCTATATCAGGTGGTGTCAGAGGAAGGCCCTCAAAATTGTCAAAGACTCCAGCCACCCTAGTCATAGACTGTTCTCTCTGCTACCGCACGGCAAGCGGTACTGGAGCGCCAAGTCTAGGTCCAAAAGGCTTCTCAGCAGCTTCTACCCCCAAGCCATAAGACTCCTGAACTGCTAATCATGGCTACCCGGACTATTTGCACACCCACCCCATCTTTTTACGCTGCTGCTACTCTGTTAATGATTTATGCATAGTCACTTTAACTCTACCCACATGTACATATTACCTCAACTACCTCAACTAGCCGGTCCCCCGCACATTGACTCTGCATCGTTACCCCCCTGTATATAGCCTCCCTATTGTTATTTTATTTTACTTCACTCTTTTTTTCTCAACACTTTTTTGTTGTTTTATTTTACTTTTTTATTAAGAAATAAATGCATTGTTGGTTAAGGGCTGTAAGTAAGCATTTCACGGTAATGTCTACACCTGTTGTATTCGGCGCATGTGGCAAATAAAAATTGATTTGATTTGAAATCTCTTGGGGTATGTCTCTATAAGCTTGGCACATCTAGCCACTGGGATTTTTGCCCATTCTTCAAGGAAAATCTGCTCCAGCTCCTTCAAGTTGGATGGGTTCCGCTGGTGTACAGCAATCTTTAAGTCATACCACAGATTCTCAATTGGATTGAGGTCTGGGCTTTGACTAGGCCATTCCAAGACATTTAAATGTTTCCCCTTAAACCCCTCGAGTGTTGCTTTAGCAGTATGCTTAGGATACTTTTCCTGCTGGGAGGTGAACCTCTGTCCCAGTCTCAAATCTCTGGAAGACTGAAACAGGTTTCCCTCAAGAATTTCCCTGTATTTAGCGCCATCCATCATTCCTTCAATTCTGACCAGTTTCCCAGTCCCTGCCGATGAAAAACATCCCCACAGCATGATGCTGCCACCACCATGCTTCACTGTGGGGATGGTGTTCTCGGGTGATGAGAGGTGTTGGGTTTGCGCCAGACATAGCGTTTTCCTTGATGGCCAGAAAGCTCAATTTTAGTCTCATCTGACCAGAGTACCTTCTTCCATATGTTTGGGGAGTCTCCCACATGCCTTTTGGTGAACACCAAAAGTGTTTGCTTATTTTTTTCTTTAAGCAATGGCTTTTTTCTGGCCACTCTTCCGTAAAGCCCAGCTCTGTGGAGTGTACGGCTTATAGTGGTCCTAGGACAGATACTCCAATCTCCGCTGTGGAGCTTTGCAGCTCCTTCAAGGTTATCTTTGGTCTCTTTGTTGCCTCTCTGATTAATGCCCTCCTTGCCTGGTCCGTGAGTTTTGGTGGGCGGCCCTCTCTTGGCAGGTTTGTGGTGGTGCCATATTCTTAAATTTTTTTATAATGGATTTAATCTTGCTCCGTGGGATGTTTAAAGTGTCGTATAATTTTTTAGAACCCAACCCCGATTTGTACTTCTCCACAACTTTGTCCCTGATCTGTTTGGAGAGCTCCTTGGTCTTCATGATGCCGCTTGCTTGGTGGTGCCCCTTGCTTAGTAGTGTTGCAGACTCTGGGGCCTTTCAGAACAGGTGTATATATATATACTGAGATCATGTGACAGATCATGTGACACTTAGATTGCACACAGGTGAACTTTATTTAACTAATGATGTGACTTCTGAAGGTAATTGGTTGCACCAGATCTTATTTAGGGGCTTCATAGCAAAGGAGGTGAATACATATGCACGCATCACTTTTACGTTATTTATCTTTTAGAATTTTTTGAAATAAGTTATTTTTTTCATTTCACTTCACCAATTTGGACTATTTTGTGTATGTCCATTACTTGAAATCCAAATAAAAATCCATTTAAATTACAGGTTGTAATGCAACAAAATAGGAAAACGGCAAGGGGAATGAATACTTTTGCAAGGCACTGTACAATATCATTCTCTCTTTTTCACTATAAACAGAGGTCTTTGCAATTATTTAAATGACATATGTGATTCATAAACAGAGAAGTCAGGAAGTAGGTTATCTAACAATACAGCAATCTAGTAATCAACCTACATGTAAAAACGAACAACTCACCTCTTTTTCACCTCGGGCTTCACCTTTCCCTTATCCGTATCCTTATCCTCTGTATCCTTCTCTGGGTTCACCATCACTTTCTTCGCAAAAAACTTCACCTCACTGTGTGATACCTTTATGCTCAGCCGTTTGGACTCTGCGCTCTCTGTGCGCCTCTCCAGCCGGCACTGGCTAGTGTTTTTGAGCATGTGTATGTCCATGTCCCCTTCCCCAGCCGCTAAGATGGCATGTACAGGTGTGTCTTGGTCCTCCTGGGCTTCTTCTACTCCCTTCCTTGTTTCCATTGTAACGCCACTGGAGGTGGTTGACCCCTGCTTACCTGTCTCAGGTGAGATCACTGAGGCATGTTTGTCTTTCGAGGAGGAGGGGGTGGCGTCTCCAGGTGTAGGTGTGTTATTATCTGAGGATGTAGGTGATTTCTCGGCTGCAGTCTGGGGTTTGGTGGGTGTGTTCTCCTGAGAACTGGCTCCTCCTCTGTCTTCGGAGGAGCTCTTCCTGGACCGCCTCCTTGCTGAGTTCTTACGCCCCATCGTGTCTGTGTCTCTGTCTATGTCTATGTCTGTGTCTGTGTCTGTATCTTTGTCTGTGTCGGACTCTTTCTCACCCGAGAGCTCAGAAATAGCCCTCTGTGTCTCTGTGTGCGACTTCAGTGACACTCCTACCAGGGCACTGTAATTGCTATGACCTTTTACCCCGATAGCAGCTTTGAGACAGGTTCTGTCTTTGCGCTGCTCGGACCTCTCCTCTGTATTGGTGTTCTCTGCTGACAAATCAGCACTCTTGGATGACTTCGCTCTGGGAACCACTTGGACGCTTTTCTTCACCCTGGTGGTGGTAGTAAGGAGCACTTCCTGCTTTGTGTAGGTGTACGTTCCACTCTGGCTGACGCTCGTCTTCTCCAGGTACACATGCAACTGCTTGCCTGCCTGGACTTGGGCTTGGGGCTGGGCCTGGGTGTGTGTGTGAGCTTGGGTGTGTTCCTGCCGGTCAGAGTCCTCCCAGGCTCCTCCCTCTTCAGGGGCGGATATAAACACACATGTCAGATGACTGGCATTCCTCTCCGGGGCAGGATTCCTGCTCGCTCCACTGCTTCCCTCCTCCTCTCCCTGCGAGGCACTCCACCACTCCTCCTCCTCCCTAGGACCTCCTCCTTCTCCTTCTTCTTCCAGCTCACTGTGGCTGCTGGCTGCAGAGAGGGGCCTGTCCCTGTGGGTAGACGCTCTGGCGTCCGTCTCCTCAAAATCCCTGGAGAGATGCCACTTGGCAGGCTGGGAATTCTGTCCCTCCTCCTGCTGCTCCTCTTCTCCCCTCACAGGGTCTTCCTGGGCCCCCTCTCCTTCTGGCCTGGGGCCTTGGTCACCCGTCAGGGGCAGGGAAGCATAGTCACTGGGACTCCTGGGGCTTCCTCTTCCTCTCCAGGGTGAGAACCAGCTCCCGATCCGGCCCAGGACACCAGTACTGTGCTCCTCTGGTGTCTGAGTAGAGGCAGACAGAAAAATCATTAGACATGTCTCCGCACATACCTCAAGACATACTCACCGACTGCCAGTGCCAATACACATGCAGATTCTGTACATGCATAAGCATAAGTGGTAACACTTTACTTAAAATCTGCAGGTATAATGCATTATAACGTGTTATAAGCATGTATGAGCCATTATAATGTCTTATTACAAAGCTATGTTATGTCCCTCTATGTAGGAGATTTCCAATGACTCAAATAGACAGTAATTTAGTCAGGATCATTATGTCATGATTATAAGACAGTACAAGGGGGTCAGATGTGCTTATAGCAAGTCGTACAATGAAGAGGCCTCATGTGGAATGATCTTCAAAAGTCCTTAAAGTGGGTGGAGTTGGTGCCTCTAGGGCAATTCAGGTGGATGTTAGAGGGCCTTTTTACTGAAGAATGTTTGTTTCATATGATTGTGTTTTACTTTTTGTGTTTTGTGTTTGCTTTTCATATATTGTGTAATTGATGTGTATATAGATAGGTATAGTGTAAATGTTGTTTATTGTTGTGTTGTTTATTGATGTGTTTGACAGGTCATCATTGTAAATAAGAATGTGTTCTTAATTGACTTACCTGTATAAATAAAGGTGAAATAAATTATAACAGCATCATAATGCATTATACCTACAGGCTTTAAAAGCTAGAATCATCGAGGGTAGAGGAAGTTCAGCAGTAAAAACAAACAAAATAGAATTATTGTAAAATATATATATTTGCGAGAAGAAAATAAAACATATGGGGGATTGGAAGTGATGCAGACAATTACATTGATGGAAGTTACAATCTATCTGCAATATTAAAGCTGATCTACCCCCTAAAAAAAAGCTAGAATCCTTAGTTGCTACCTCAATATGTGTACTTGATGATATGAATGATATATACCCATTGATTCTTGAAGAATACAACTTAGTATGCCTTATGAGCTTAGTTCAACTGTTGTACCCCATCACAACCCAAAATATAAACTTGTTTTACACCAATGTGTGTAAACAATGTAAATGTAAACAAACTATGTATAGCCTCAAAACATGGTTAAAACTATATTTTTTATATCATGGATGGTCAGTCCTTGCATCCATAGCTATGTCTATGAATTTGAGAGTGGTTACATTTCTCCAGGTCCATCCCTCAGCTTTTTACCAAAACAGAAGCCGGGGCACCGCTTTGTTATTGTTTCAACTAAGGATTCTATCTTTAAGTAAGTGTACTATAAGTTGAATATGGCACAGTCAATATTGCAGAGAGGCGAAAGGATGGAGGGGTCAAGGGTTATTTGGTGTTTGTCAATGTCAGGTTCTGTGCAGCTCTCAACATAATGAATGCATGCAACAGTAGTACTGTACTAATTATTCCTTTGTTATAGGTGCTCAACTCACCCAAGAGCCAAGTACCATACCATTCAGAGTCTTTATGCTACATGTCAACATGGTTTAGGCTTTAAAACATTTAAACCTATAGACCATAAAACAGAATTATAATATATAATCATCCTAATAATAACATCTATTTAGCTCTGTTGCAAAGGAACATGCACTTATGCAAATTATTATTATTTGAGAGCATTTCAAACAAGAAAAAAAAATAGGCCTATACATCAAAAATTTAAAAGACATAAGAACATGATAGATATCAGACCTCACTTTTTCGACAGAAAAGTCTAAAGAACAACTTACCTGAAATTACAGAGGAAAACTTTTCTCCCATTCCAAAGTGTTAAACCCTAAATTAACAGCTGTCAAGTCTAAGTACAGAATAGGACAGTCTCATAATTCCGTCAGAAGTATGCAATAGTGACTTAAAGAAAAAAACTTGTTGTAAAAGTATTTTCCATGTATGTCAACAGAGGAAGCATGAAGAACAATAACGTGCATGCGGGAGACGACTTGACAGCAGAATCAGAGATATGTGTGCGGGCTGAGTTGAAGTTGGTTAATTATTTATGTGTGAACAGCGCGCACACGCAGCCTAGTGGTAAAATATCTGTCACAAGTTTTCTTCGGGAATGCATTGGACTTGCCTGCACAAGGCCCAGTCTAGTTTCAAAGAGTTTACCAACAACTGTAGGTGGGCTGCTCAAGTCAGTCTTTTCATAAAGTGGTTAAGGACTAGGCTAATGAACCTTTAAAATAACTGGCTGTCTCAGGATAACATACCGTTTTTGTTTGTCTGTTTGTCTTTTCTATTTGTTTGTCTATTTGTGAATAGAATTACCATATAGCCACAAGGCACATTAACAAATATTTACAAATTGCCTAATTTATTTTTTCCACTTTTATGGAGTCCGATAGAATTGTTGTGGGTCAAATGGTCATTAGCCTAGTCGGCAATATTAATACTGTTTTTGTCTCAGGTTAGCGTTTTTCGTCATTAATCTTGTTCTGGCTCAGCCACAAAGTCATAAAATCGTATTTTAACCCTAACATTAACCACACTTCTAACCCTAAAGCCCAACCCTAATCTTAAATTAAGACCAAAAAGCAACATTTATTTTAATTGTTTTATTCATGTATTTTTACAATATAGCCAACGTTGACTTTGCACCTGGCCCATCTAGCAGAAATCGTTCTGCCTCATGGACAAGACGCATCCCAATAAAACATCAACTTGCGTTTTAAGTCAGTCAAATATCATAATCATAGGATAGTTATTTCCTACACTGAATATAATAATATAATAGAATGTAATAGAAGCCTAAATAAAAGTTAGTAGAACAGACTATTTATATATCACTCAGAAAGATAAACCAAGTCGAACAGATGCATTCCCTAGGCCTACTTCAAGTATTTACAGTGCCCTTTATAAAAGCTTGGCGTGCAACAGGCAGCTAATCCTGAAACAGTCTACCAAAATGTCAGTGGCATTCCTTTATTTTTGCCTCATTTAACACGCCCAGTTCATTTGTTAGACAAATTCACAAGTTCAGGCATGGCTTCTGCCATACCCTAATTATGGTTAAAGACGATCGTTAGAGAGGGAGATCTTACCATGATAACGCCTCCGTTTTAAAATCCTTTCCAAATATCCCATGAATCGGTTCAGATGGAACTCGCCGGGGTGACTATGAGAAAGAGCCGGTTAAAATAACTCTCACTCGGCCACCGCCTCTCTGAGGTGAGGTAATGTCTGAAGCAGCACTTTTTCCTACAACCTAATACCTAAGAAATTCATTGTATGAGTCCAAATGTCCTTGTCAAGTGTTGAGAGACAACTTTTGAATGAAGCCAATAACATCGCATTATCCATGTCATTTGAGTGGTTTTCTCAGAGGAGGGCTGAGGAACAGGTGGAATCTTCCCAGCTCAGGTAACACCCCAGGGAGAAAGACTGGTGACACAGTATGACATTTATGGCGGTCTGTTGTACACTTTCAGTCGAACACAAACATAAACACACTCTCAAAGACACAAACACGAGACACACACACACAGGGTGAACGCACGCACATACACACACATGGGTGCGCGCACACACACAAATGGGCGCACGCAAGCACCCCCCCCCACCCACACACACACACACAACACACACACACCTATTGATACCCCACCTCCCCCCTGATTAATTATTGATCTATTGGAGTTGAAATCTGCCTCTCTCCAACCCTATTAAACATTTAAACACTGTTTTGCATAAACGTCCTTATAGTAACGCTGGTGGGATCCAAAAACACAGGCCTTTAATTAACATGTACAATAATTTAGAAAATACATGTAGACACATCCCAGAAAAACGGGTTATTCACAGTCATTAAAGGCTAATATTTTTTACTTAGAAATAGACAGATACTGTAGGACACTATTTGGGATATTTACTGACTACACGGAGTGACCTAGAATGTGAGGATTAGAACAAATAACAAGAGAGAGGTTACGTCCCAAAATAATACCACCCAATCCCATCACTCCACATTGTCAATATAAAGGTAACATTGTTGATTAAATCTTTTCTGCTCCCCTATAAACCCAAGAGAAAGTAAAAGGCTATAATCACTTGTTTAACCTTTACCTAATGCCACGTTTGGTTGGTTTCCTGTCACTGTTTCTTTATAGATAGTTGGTCAAAGTGATGGCAGACAGTAGTCCCCTTATTAGGGGTTCACAGTGAAGCTGTGAAGCTGTGAAACCCATTGTTTTTCTTAGATAATTGTTTTCCTTGACATGGTCAAATAACTCAAGCACAGATTGGTAACTATTTTTCAAATTTTGGCACACAGAAACTAGAGGCCATGAGTCCTTGGTAAAAAAGAATGGCACCGATTGGCCTATAGATGGCGCTGTTATAAGCAGTCTCACTTAAACCCTCATATCCGCTGCCCCGTTTGACCTAGAGACTTGAAACTTTGTATGTAGGGTTTTTTCCTCATGCTGAACAAATTCACTTCAAGGACCCATAAGGTCCATCGAGATAGATTTTCCTCCATCTTGGAAATGTTTGAAAAACTTTGAAAGCTTCTTCTCATGAACCATAAGTCCAAATAACACCAAATTGTATGTAGGCCCATGGTACATCACTTAACTTAGTTTGAGAAAAGCTAAGGGATTGGTTAAGAGATGGCTGAGTTATTAAATGTCAATTTAAATCCTATGTAAATCCACTTCACAATGGCCTATCAACTTGAAACTTTTAGGGTCATCAAAGACATTACCATGATGAACCATGTTAAGTTTAGCATTGATATCTTAAAAATAAGGATACTATTAACAATTCATTTTTTTTAAATGTCTTAGATAATTTTTTTCCCTTTGACAATCTTTTTTTGGGAGATGTAGGGTTATCACATATCCGGTTGTGAAACTTCCTTTCCGGAGGTAAAGTCATTAATATCCGTCAAGTGATTGGTTGAGGCTTCTTGGGTGTGTGACGTCAATCCGAGCCCTTACCAAAACACCAAACATGGCGGACAGTGTCTCTCGCCATCTGAAACCAGTAGTAACCACTAACTTCAATTACAGTTCAGTAAAAATGTATAGACGCTTAGCATTCAGGCCA